AATTTTTTCAGTACGAATATTAGCAATCCCTCGCAAATGAGTTTTTTTCTTCGCTTCCAGACACGCACCCTCGTCACCGATGGGCCGAAAAGTTCTCGTAGAGTACATGCAATACGCGTTTTCTTCCCTGCTCCGGAAGGTCCATAGAAAAGAAGATGAGGAAATTCACCCGTCGCCGCCTATTTTACGCGTCCGGATCGCGTCAGCATCTTTGCGCCCCTCAACGGAAAGGAAAAGGCGCTAACTAGCGAAGCGAGCCGCGAGGAGAGCTCCTTATGATATGTAAGTGTGTCTAACGTTTGCGGACGATGCTAGGGAGAGCGAGATAAAGGGAAACTGAGGCGTAGAGAACAGACACGCAATGTGCGCTGACCTTGTCAACCCAGAGCGACATGATGATCGTATTGGTGCTTGTTTACAAGCTGCTCGGATCGGAGCCAACCTTATCTCGCCTACTGTGTAATTTTAGACTTCAACCGGTGCCTGCTCTTCAGTGGGCCTGGGTTTCTCCAGGGGAGGCCTATGCATTATTCGGCACGAATTTAAACAGTGCAGTGCATGTAATATAAGCCGATAGATTGAGACGTACTTAACTAATTTTTCTAAGAATATGTCGCATAGTGCTCGAACTCATGGCGCCGGGTGCTATTAATACGCAGTGCACAACTGCCTTGCCGTCATCTTCCTTGCATAGCCGAGCGCTTGTAGTGTATAATCTACAGTTTTCTCGCAATAATAATTATCAGCCCTTTCCCACCTCTACATCTACTTGGGTTCGCTCATAACGTACAAACTCATTACTTGATCGCCTCAGCCCAACACGATAGACAAACAGTGCTTTCGATAGTTCACTCAGACAATGATGACGCCTATCATCGTTGTCGTCGGTGCGGGAGTTGTCGGCTTATCCACAGCCATCCGAAATTCAAGAAAGGATTCCAAGCGCTAAAGTTTATATCGTCGCAGAGGTTCTACCTGGGGATCCAAAGTCAATCAAGTATATACGAGTTTGTGGGCTGTAAAGTGAATGTTCACGTCAACTATTCCTGCTCGTGTCTTGACAAATGTAACTAATCCATCAATATATCGACTTGCTGCTGTGAACACAGGGCGCTCATCATGTCTCTCTAGCTGAAAACGAGGGCCAACTTAGTTCGTGAACGGTGGTTTCTCCACTTTTTTGTTTCTCAATCTCCATCTAGGGTTGGACAGTAAAAACGTTCCGAAGAATGTGGGAAATGTCGGAGGGCGGGCATCCAGCGGAACATTGCTTTCTACGACTTCAAACAGACGGAGTATTACTCTGACAAACGGAACAATGAAGGGAGTACAGACCGTCTGCATTTTATGCCGGATGTAAGTACGAAGTCTGATCGTCTGTATTGATGTCCTCTTATGCGCAACTCGCACTGGATCGATAAACCGATAAGTACCGGGTCCTCAAGGATTCTGAGCTGATCGAAGGGAGTCTTTCTGGTGTGGAATTCACTACGCTAACCATCGACACTCCAGTATAGTGAGTGATTTGTTGCCACCCTTCCGCCATCGCGCACACAACTGTCATTATAGCCTCCCATACCTCCTCTCTCGGTTTGAATCTGCAGGAGGAACCGTCATTCGGGCCTCGATCTCCGCTCTTTCTTCCCTTCTCACCGGCACGCTCGTTCCAGAAAACCTTCGGCAATCATCTCTTGTCCAGGTCTTGGAGCGGCAACCATCAAAGGGATCGAGGATCCGGATGTTTATCCCATAAGAGGCCAGACCGTCCTTGTCAGGACACCTTGGGTTAGGTTTGGGAGGACACTTAGTGAACCAGGGGTTGATGGCATTTGGACATATATCATTCCTAGGAGAAGCGGTGATGTACGTGCAAGTTTCCTTCCTTCGAAATGTTTCCATCGAGTTTTGATCTTCATCTTTCTACGTGACTGACATGATTTGGGTTGGGACGCGGGCCGGGTGGTTTCGACGATTTTTGATCTCAAAATGGTACATACTGAATTTTTCCAAAACACAGGTGATTTTGGGAGGAGTGAAGCAAGTGAATGACTTCCGGCCGAGCCACTCAAAGAAATAACGGAGGATATCCTTAGGAGATGTTTGGAACTTTGTCCAGAGTTGGTGACGGGCTCTCCTGAGTTCAAGTCATCTACCAGCGGCCCTGAGGCTGAAGGGGGAGGAACGCCACGCAAGGTGACGGTGGATGATCTGAGACCATTTATAATCGAGGAAGGCTGTGGACTTCGTCCTGCAAGGAAAGGAGGCATTCGCTTTGAAGTGGACTGGCTGTCTGCAGCTGAGAGTACCGAGTCGGGCGCAGATGAGAATGGCCGGAGTGGGAAAATTCCAGTCATTCATCATTACGGGTACGTCCATGAAACCCTTGGGATTCGCTAGCAGCGGGGGAGGGGGGGCTCCCAATTAACTTTGAAATGGTGTAACAGGCATGGTGGCTTTGGATATCAATCGTCCTGGGGTAGTGCGGAAAAGGCTGTTGATTTGTTGCAGACTGTCTTGTAAAATGAGCTCCCCAGCTTGCAGTTAGTTCATTGGAGAAGCGCTTCCAGTCATTTTCGCGCGTCGTGCTTGCCGTTCCCCTGGCCTGATTCGCAGCGATGCAATATGTGATATATGTAGTCAGAGAGATCAGAATGAATGTTTCCGTTTCATCAATGCCCATGCACGCCTCAGTGTGTCGATGAAATCGCTGCACAAGCTTAGTATTTTCTGAGGACGAAGAGCTCCCGAACAGCCTTAGCTAGCCTATGCCATGATTGAATGGGTTATATTATAGAGCAGTCGACTCCCAGCTTCCCATGCACAATGACATTCTGTTTTTGCAGTTGCCACGTATCTGGGTTCCCCGCTAGTAGTTAGTGTTAACTTGTTTCCGCTACTATACTCGGCGCGCAGCGGATCCGGCGCGGGCGAATTCTTCTGATCTCAGCTCGGGTCAAGAGTTGCATGCATGGAAGCGTGAATCGCGCGAACTAGTACTTACTACCATGAGTGGGCACCGGGCACATTTTTGAGGCACGTTCATAGTAATTAAATACCAGCAGAAGAATTATTGCATTGCGGAACGTGTATGGATGTGTGATCAAGACGAAGTATTGAACATGCGATGCGTACGAAACCATCCCTGCCGTACCTTACACTATTGCATCTAGAATTACTACAGGAATATTTGTCTTTCCCTTTTTTCTTTTTTGTTGGGTTGATAAAACAACGAAGTGATAACAAGGCCACCACGAAGTTAGAAATACAACTGCAATCAGGGCAGGAGCACAACGGAATCTCTAATATTTGCATTGTTGAGCGTGTGTGTCGTTGTCGTCGTTGTGCACGCGCGAACCTAGACGGCAGTGGCACCATGCTCTAACTTCTGGCCTTCGTGTTCGGGATCTGCTTCGCCATTGGGGACAAAGAATGTTTCAGCTTTCGGGTGAACGTGTGTCGAGGTGTCAATCAGTTGAACCCGCGAAAGCTCTTTTACGAAAGAGGTTCCCCAATAAGCAGATGAGTATTTCGAGATGTACTAGGAGAACGGACGTTCTTAGCAACCAATACCTGATTTGAGAGAAAAGATTTTTTGACTGGTTCACCTTGAATAGCTTCTTCTGATTCTCCCTCCGTGTTTCGGGAGATACGGTGACAGCCTCATAGATAGCATCTGCAACCTGCTGGCTGTCCCAAGGATTGACAACCAGACTTCCGTGCAAGCTCTGAGCAGCACCCGCAAACTCGCTCAGGATCATGACACCCTGACGCTTCTGCTGACAAGCAATGTACTCATACGAAACCTATCCCGGCCAACACCCACACCTCAACAAACAGGCGCAAGGAAAGGAAGGGGGGAAGAGCAATTGCGGGGGGGACATACCAAGTTCATGCCGTCTCGAGTGCTTGAAACGAGACACACGTCACTAACTGCATATAATGCGCAAAGTTCGTTGAATGGTAAGCTCTTGTGCATGAAATGTATGGGCATAAAGTCCACAGTTCCAAAGCGACCGTTGATCCGGCCGACGAGCTCGTTCACGGTCGACCGCAAATTTTGATATTCTTCCACATCTTGTCGTGAAGGAACGGCGAGTTGAATCAGGACGATCTATGTTCCGGTTTGGGCAGAAATAAATATTGTGAGGTTCGCCGGTAAAGAAGATACCCCCCCAAACAAAGTGCTTCTCGAGTCTCACCTTTCCGATCCATTCTGGATGTTGGGTTAGAAACACCTCCAGGGCATGCATCTTTTGGGGTACACCCTTGATGTAATCCAGCCTGTCGACTCCAACAATAAGCTTAACGCCGTCGAACCGCTTCTCCAGGGCTGCAATTCGCGCTTTGACTTCAGACCTTTCCACACCCTGTATGGAAACGAAATGAGGAATGTTTCACATGCAGATGGATTGCATCATGAACGCACATCTACGAATTGTTGAGGATCAATCCCAATTGGGAACGTGCCGACCTGAGCGTATCTCCCAGCTATCTCGACGCCGTTGGGCATGGTGGGTAGACTAAGAATTCGGGTGCAGGATGAAAGGAAATGGCGGGCATAGTCGTAGGTGTGGAACCCAATGAGATCTGAGTAAAGAGTACCGAGCAGAATTTCTCGTCGTACAGGAAGGATCCTATTTAGGAACACGGAGTGAATAAAAAAAGGGACAATAGTAGCTTCGCCGAACTTACCGATAAATTTCGCTACTTGGGAATGGGGTGTGCAAGAAGAAACCGATTTTTATTGAATGCACATCCTCCGAGTCGACTTCATCCTGAATATCAGATTCTCCTAATCGATCCGTGATACCCTCAATCTCCTTCCTCGTATACTCGTCTGCTCCAGGGATCATCCCTCGCAAGAGCATTGGTAAGACCATGAGGTGATAGTCCTGAACCCAGACCATATCTCCTGTACGAAGGTGTTTCCGAATCGCCTTGGCAAAGTACAAGTTGGCTTGCTGGTACGCAAGCCAGTTCTCCTCGTCAAAGTTCATCTCTCCCGGATGGTAGTGAAATAGAGGCCAAAGAATCGAGTTGGAGAAGCCGTTATAGTGACGATCTGCGAGCTCATCCCCGAGGTACACTGCCTGACAAGAGTATTCCTCCATGAGACGTTTGTCTACGATAGCTCTGTCTTTCTCTGGAATGAAGAACCCTGGCCATCCGATCCACGTGAAAGCCATGTACTTCTTGCAGCCTGATAGCGCCGAGACAAGACCACCCGAGGACATCTTGAAATGATAATCACCGGCGGCATCCTTGCTGATGGTCACAGGAAGACGATTGCTGACGACAATGAGACGTTTTGAATCACCAAAATCCATGGTGGTGGCGGAGGCTGATTCGGTGAGTTCTTGGGGAGGGGAGTCTGATGACATGGCAAGTACTTAAGGCTTATGAGCTATATCGATGCGGAGGATCACGGATCTTTGAGGGCGAAGGATGTTTGGGTGAGGGCAGCTTAAGGAAACAATCTTGGGAGAAGTGAATGAGGTATAAATGCTGAGACTATTGCCAAACTCGGCAAATGGGCTCGGAGATGTGAGCGCTGGGAGGTTAACTCTGATTTGAAGGTGTTTAGTGCTTCAACGTCGATGAAATAATGCGTTCAGACTGGGTGATGGGCCCTGTGTAGCGACCTTAGCGTGACGGAGGAAGGATGGAGCAGGAGAACGTGCGAGTTTCACGACGTCACCGAGTGGCGTGTTAATTTGTTCGGATGCAAATTTGGCCGTTGAAGCTCAGAAGTCCAAAACCCCAAACGGGAAACCAGCGGGGTTTGACGGGTCACGTTCGCGATGCTTGATTCGCCATTGAGCTTCTACACGGTTTTCCTGGTTCGCCAGGCTATATGAAAAGTTCAGGAGTTGAACGTCTAGGCTCTAATTCTCGAACCCAGTTCCCATATACGTGCGGAGTCCTGGTATTTGGTCCGCCGATATGCATAAGCAGGCAGGTGACCTGCCCCTCTTTAACCCGCCGACGCGAGGAGATATAATCCCTCACAAGCAACCCCTCAAGGTCACTTGGTACATGATTAGAACTCAAGTAGTATCCGTAAAGCGTATCTTTGTCGTGACGCTCCGTTTACATTTAATTTATATGTAGCCGTTGTTGGCCACTACCGCACTACGGCCAGTACTGTTGATCAAGGTGATCGGTTTACTTAACAACGCTTTTTTCCCCTTTCATGGCCGGGCTGCGTTCCCTTTATCATTCTAGTTTGGTTGAACGTCCTGCAGTACTACACTGATGGCAACCAAGGATTATGCAGCAGAGTGATGCGACCCAGGTGAAGTGAATCGCACAGGAGTTCTCGATCACAAGATATGGCACGTGTAAATGACCTTCGAGGGTCTCCTCATCAAGAACTGAGACTTGAATTGCACAGCAACGGCTGTGTTACTTGGCTTGGAGATAATGTCCGATGTCGGCACACTATCGGCATCCTTGCTGGTAAGATGTGAAATTGCCACTTGCTTGATGTCGTCTCTTGAGTTTGGATTCACACGAATATGCTCGGTGGGAGTGCATTCCAAAGTACTCGGCGGTTGCAACGTCGTGACGAGATTACTGAGATTAAGCAATCGAACGTTAGAACTCATCGTGATGCAGAGCAATCGCAAGATCGAGATCGAGCTGCAGGGGTTCGATTCTTGAAAATGACAAAGTAGTATGGAAGACATACCTCTCATCGCGACATCCGAGGATCACAAGTACCGATCACCTCATGTACGCCACCGCGGTGCAGAATGACACAGCCGTTGCCCCTATGAGTATAGAGCGAGCCGAGCGAAGCACCGGGGTTAGCCGAAATCATTGTATCCGTTGTTCTCCAATGTATGCATGTAGATCAATCAGCATCAGAGCCAAGAGGGAACGTTGAAAGACTGTCACCATAGTGAAACGAGTTCAAGGTTGCAAAGGTTGTTCCAACAATTACAGTACATAGTAACAATAAGTAATTCGATGCGCCTGTTTCTGTACAAATTCACATCCGACGGTTTAACCTAGTCATGGTCGACTCCGACATTACTCACTTAAGTTTACATAGAACGGATTATTGATAATGCGGGAGAAATTAAGCGCCCGGGCACAGTTCGTTCGCCTCCATGCCGCTTTATGTAAATGAAATGTGTTCCTGAGGTGAAAGCAGTGCACGCGCATGTTTCCAGATGTATTCTGAAAAGGGAAAACTCGTGGTTGGTTTCGGTTCCCCTTGAGTTCTCTTCTTCTGAACTTGAGTTCGTTCTCTTCCTTTTTTTTCTCCGTTACTCCTTGCTCGACAGCGCTTAAGGATTCACACATTCTCTCCTTAAATAAAGGCCATTGGTACTTCAAGTTTTCTCCCTTCTCCCCCTCCCTTCCCCACATTCTCATACCTTCTTCTGTTAACTTGCAGACTCGTGAAAGACCCTCCTCTCACCTATGGCACGCAACTTCCGTTCAACTATCTTTTCCATTATTCTCCTGTGCTTGTTGAGAGTTGAGAAGACTTTTGCTCAAAGCGTGAGTAGCAATGCTGTCCTGGCAACGTCCCTACCGCACTCATTTACTGATTCACTGATTCGTTCCTTTGTTCTAGTCCAACGTTACCTGTCTCCCTTCTTATAGCTGGGTGAGTAGCAAAGAAAAGGGTTTCGTAATGAGTGATTGACGTCGTGCCCTTAGGCATCAAACAGCAAAAGGTGCTTTCGTTTCCCCGCTTGACCCCTCCATGAGTTGAACCTTTCCCTCAGCCAAAACCCATGTATCGTCGCTGCAATCCTGCAGACAGTCTGCAATGATGGGGGTAAGGCGCCCGAATATTTGCCTCCATATCAATGCTTGAAATTTACGTATTTGACTGGGATTCTTAGTTTTCACTGTCAACAGCCTTCCTGATGGCTATCACTACATCGGTATGTGCCGGCAGCATCCAGCCCTGTTTGTTTAGCGTGTTTACTGACTTGCTTTGAAAGGCCCAAGGCAGAATGATCCGTCCACTCAAAATGTTTGTAAGTACCCGGTCTCCATCAGCACTCAATTCATTCGTTCACACCTCCCGGGTTGGGGGGACCTAAAGGCATCTGTAGCACGCCCGTATACGAGCTTATGTCCGCGTGCGCCGATTGCCAGAATAGGACATTCATAAGGTTAGCCCCCCCGATGCGTTTCCTCGTGGTCGTGTTGGATTTTTCGTGCTGATTTTTTGGTTGAAAACAAAACAGTTGGTCTGCTTGGAGTCTATATTGTACAAACTTCCCCGGTATCCAGGAAGGGATGTAAGTCGCATAATCCTTTGGACTCCGAACATTCAAAGGCAACAATCCTAACGTTCCGGTGTCACTTCTATTAGCTATAATTCTTCGATCCCACGGTCAACAGCGATTCCTCAGTGGGCGTTCGAAAAGCCTTCGCAAAATAATGACCTGTAATCATCCGTTTCTGGTGCCCTGTTGACTGATCAAGGCTGACATTGGTATGGTTCTTCAGATACAACAGCACCCTTGCGAAGCAAATTGGGGGTGAGTCAAGTGTTTGACATCCCGTTCTGCAGGTTTTTAATCCTTTTTTAAAAATTTTGCAGACTCTCCGGAAAGCACATTCGTACCATCGTCCACGGAATTCAGTAGTAGTACCTTGGCGGGAACCACAACTGGGACACCGACCCTTTCAACGAGCTTCTCGCTTCCCTTTACTGTTTCGACAAGTACACCCGCAGGGAGTGGCGGGGAAGCAAGACGAACGTAGCAGCCATAGCTGGGGGTGTTGGTGGAGGCGTGGTGGGTATCGCGCTAATAGCTGGTCTAGCGTACCTCCTTCTCCGTAACCGCGGACCTCCTGAGGCCAGGCCCGATCCAAATGCCTATCAGGGCACCCTCAACAACACTACCGACACTACTTTCAATGGCGACCCAGCCTTCAACGGTGCTCCGACCTACAACCAGCGCGCACCGGGTTTCATAACCCCACCCATGCAGGGGCTCAATGAAGGCCCAATCTTTCCGGGTCCCAACCAGGGCGTGACTATACCAATGCGGGAGCCCTATTCCAACATGGGTGTAATGGGCTTCGTGCCTCCACCCGTGCAGGAGCAACCTCAGTTGGCGCATCACCAGCCTCAGATGGCCCCATTGTACACTGGGGGGACCGGCCGATGAGTTTAAATACGGCCCAGAACTCCCCTTCATATACTGGGGACGTCCAATCGTTCCCACCAACTGAGTCTACGTGAGTTGCTTTTCGATTCTGTGACGAAAAGGAGTGGGAAATTGAAACCACCATTGACGTTGTTTGTAGTGGTCAATATCCTGATCCGAATTATTCCGTTGGGCATGGTGCGTATCCGCACTCACCACAAGCTGAACACCAGCCGCAGTTCCCGCGTCCAGGAGGGTACAATTACGTCCCAGAAGTTTGAAATGTTATGTATATGTATGCATTCTTTCTGTCTCTACAATTTACTGTCTCCATTTCTCGAATCTCGTTCAGATCACTTATTTCCCCTTCCTACTCTAAATCCCTTTGTTTTTCTTCTCTTTTAGTGTGGAAAGAATATTATGTTGTGTTGCTTGGGCTTTCTGATCATTGAAAACCCATATATTTTCTATGCAACTTTGTGGGAATGTTTGAACCACTTGCAACAAACTCGTTCGATCTTTGTATGTGTTTCTTGCCTATCACTCTTTTCTTTCTTTCTTTCTTTCTTCCTTCATCGTACGCGGTGCTTTTGCTTTTAATTTTCCTCCCGGTTTTACATGGACAGCTATTGGGTAAACTCGACATTCTCTCCTTAAGGTATAATCGTCTGCTATCAGACATGGCCCGAGACGCGTGAACATTACTGTATATCTACGCATGACAAATGCAGTTCCTCGGGGTCGGGCAACAGCCCTTTTCAGCGATCTGAAGACAAGTTGTTTGGACGTCGTCCCCCGACCCACGTGCGCGCTCTCTCAGGCACACGACAGATTGAATAATGGGCAGTGCCAATATGATTATGTAGTAGTCAAACTGAGCTGGACTGTTATGAAGCTTTGATTATGTAATCAGGGCGATTTGGTGGACGACTTTAATCAATATCGGAGGTATTATGTAATGAGATTGTTCACCTCCCTCGACTCATCAATGCGGCTTGGTCGTTGAGTTGATACTTTTTGCAATATTCTAGGCCAATGATCAACTTAACAGCAGGGTGTCATTCGAGGAAAGAGTCGCCAGAGCAAAGTGGAAGTTGTCGTTGGGTTTTCCGGATCCGATTAAAAGGCTGTGCGCACAATTGAAATGCGCCCTTTGGAGTTAAATACATAAGCCAGGGTTCAATAACATGGGGGCCAAGAAAAGACGGCTAACCCCCCCCTTTCCGTCTTCGTAAGCTTGGTGGATTCCAACGTTTTCCGGGAATTCGTGCTGTCTTTTCGTTCCCGGGTTCGTGTTCCAGTAAAAAAAAAAAAACACCACACCTGGAGGATGCCGTCTTCTCAATCGCGAGTGACCCGTTCGTTGCCCACACCTTGGCCTCGTGTCACAATGGATTCAATTTTCCGTCAAGCGCTTCTTTTCTCTGCGCTTTTCCTAGCGTTTGGAGGGGACAAAGTGTTAGCGCAAACTGTACGTCCTTCCGAGAATGACCTCTAGCTCGAGATTTTGAGAGATGGTTGATGTTATCCTGCAGACGAATGTCACTTGTCTCCCTAGCTTTGATTGGGTAAGTGGGACATCGAGCTAGGTCTGTTCCAGGGCCACTTAAAGATGCTTCACTTCTCTAGGCGTTGAATAGCGCCAAGTGAGTCACCTACCGTCAGTTGTTCCGTGGTCGCCTTTATGCAAATGTAATGATTATCAGAGAAAACCCGTGCAAGGTTGCGTCAGAACTCCAAGCAGTGTGTGGTGGAGGTAAGGATTGGATTTGGAGCTCGTTATTATTCGCTTTTTTTTGCATCTACTGACTTCACCACAATTAGGATGGACTGTGACCTCCCTCCCGCCGAACTATCACTATATCGGTGAGAGCGTAACACCCATTCACCCGAACTTTTATGTGCTCAGCAGACAAACCAAAGGCCCGGTAAAGGGTAGTGATACAAATGGTCCAAACTATTGTATGTGCTTGTCTTGAATCCGTTTCACTCGGAATCTCAAATTTTTTTCATTAGGTACTTGCACCTCCATTGTGTACGAGCTAATGTCGGCGTGTGGGGCTTGCCAGAATCGGACATTTATATCGTATGTCCGATCAACCACACAAGTGCTAACGATGATTCTTATCATATGCACTTAACTCAGCTATCCGGCTTGGACGGTTGACTGCGGTAACATCTCGACTGTGGAGGGCGTGTACACACCGTCGTTGATTCCTTCTGGTGCTCTTGTGCCCCGCTGGGCTTATCTCAAGCCTTCTAGCTACGGTGGACTGTGAGTTTATACTTTTGTCTAATCATAAAACATAATTTTTTTTTCTAATGTTGACATTAACAGATTCAACCTCGAAGTTGCGAAGCAGATTGGTGGTATGTTGCATTCATAATTTTTTGCCGCATTTCTTTCCTTTCCTTTTGGGAACGCAGCTTATTATACCTTCATTCCCGATAGATCTACCTGAAAGTTCTCAGTTATTCTCATCGAGCACGACATCATCCGGCGGTCTCACGACAGCCTCTACCCCTTCAACCTCCACAAATTCCATCACCACCTCATCTACCACAAACAACAATCCAACGACGACGACGACGACAACGACGACAACGACGACAACGACAACGACTCGATCTGGGGGAAGTTCGAACACCGGCCCAATTGTTGGGGGCGCGGTTGGGGGTGTGGTTGGTCTTGGCCTGGTTGCAGTGCTTGCAGTATGGGTCCTTAAGAGACGGTCAGGCAAGCCCCCCAGTCAAAACCTTGCAGTTTCAGGTCCTTCATTGAATGATGGCTCCACGCGACCCCTGAGCATGGCTACCGCTCCACAGCCTGCGTTCCAGGAACCGTACTTTGTGACACCGACTAATCATCACCCCCCATATAATATCCAGAATCCCGGATATAGTGGCGCCCCTGAACCATAGTTTTCTCTCCAGCTTTCCATCTCGCAGCTGAAGAAGGCCTCCCCCCTCTTGTGTAATGAACGCCCCCCTGCCATTTTCCTATTTTCATCATTTTGTTTTATCATCCATCCTCAAACCTCTTCAACCTTGATTTTATTATTCATCTAGTCTGCACGCGGGGGCGAGGGTGCCCCCATCGTTGGATGCTCAATTTATATATATAACACATTTCTTGCGCGTTGTACTGTGCAGATTTTTTTCACATTTTGCCTCTAGGGACTTTTTGCATGGTTTCATCATGTGTTGTGTTGTTGTGAGCTCCCAAAATACACATACTGGTGGTGCCTTCATGACTGTATTTGTGATATGCTTTAGTCCCAAGTGACTACATCGATCGAAATCTGAGGACCCCAGCCTCTACAGAAGATAGAGGAACTTGCGGCTGTGTGAAAACCAGCTCGGTAGCGAGGCTCGATCGCAACGCCCCTTGGGATAAATACCCAACCAGGCTCTACTTTTCTATGAGACTCCTCCGTGTCAGTCGCCTTTTGCGGCCCGTCCATTTCCGGCTTTTGGATCCGGTGCTCCACATATTGGCCGTGCGTTTTCCCGCGCCCCCCCCCAACACAACTTTGGGGGATAAACACTAGCTTGCCTTTCTGACAGGGTGTCAGGCCCGCGTTCTGAGGACGAGGCTGGAATCCGGTTTCAGAACTGAGGGTGTCGCGAATCTCAGCATCAGCTAGCACCATCGTGGCTCTCAGAATTGAAGCGCATCTTCTCCCACATCGGCGGACGGGGATCAGCTATGGACGTGGGCTGAACAGTGTTCCACCCAGTACATCTTCAGTCAGATTCCAGCATAGCTCTCCACTTGCAAACATACGTGCTATTTTTAGTGAAGTCACGCCGCTTCCTACAAAATTAAAATTCAGTCGTAGTTCCTGTTGGTAATCTCGTACTTGCTTGTCAAGTTTCAAACAGACGGGGAACCTGCAAGTTGCAGACTTGTGAATGAATCATCTGCCTTATGGAATTCTATGATATCGAAAGTGCTGTAGTTGCGAGGTTTTGACCTTAGAACAAACAGTACATATACAAGCTAGACAAATAGACAAATAAACTCGGCCAAAGGGGAAGTTGTGTTGAGGTTCACGGGACTACTGCAAACGCTGCTCTCAAGTTTCCTCGACCTCCTGCTCTGAGCTTGGATATCGAACTGTGCTAATCACGCGAAGAATGCCGTGTTTCCGGTCACAAAATGCACAAGGGTTCATTTCATCCCTTGTAATTGCCTTGATTATTCGCCAAGCTTGTCTCTTCGAGCTTTTCCTAGGTTTAGGGGTCGATAAAGTATTGGCTCAAGAGGTGCGTGCCTCTGGAAGGTGGCTTTGTTTTTAAACCTTCGAGGAAAGCTAAGCGTGTGGGTCCACCTGGGATTGTTGTAGACCAGTGTGACTTGTCCCTACGACTTTCAGTGGGTGAATCACATATGGGCCTGCAACGTTCGTTAAGTTGCGCAACTGATCCTCTTTTGTTTCTTCAGGCTTTCAATTCCCAAGGGTAAGCCGATAACACGTATCACTGGCTGCAGCGCTCACGGTCCAATGACTAGAGGATCCCCTTGCAAAGTCGGCTCGGAACTTATTGCAGTGGGTACTGGAGGTGAGCTTTCCATTGATCCACGTCATGCACTGACATAGTCTTGATGATAATCAGGAAAATGGCTCGTGGGTCCGCTCCTTCCGGGATGGGAATACATCGGTATACGCAAATTCTGAGTTACGTAGCCTTGTGCTCACTGAGGGACACAAGGGCCATCGCCGAACAGTTCAGGGGGTTACTTCCCGAATGCTTGTGTGTGCTCCGACCCCCGGCAGTGGCTTGAATTCTGAAACTTACCCATAGGCACGTGTTCCTCCGTGGTATACCAGCTGATGGCGGCATGTGGATCATGCCAGAACCGCTCATACACGTCGTATGTGCATCGTGTTTACTTACTCTTCCATGTCTAACAGGTAATCTAGGTATCCCCTCTGGGGACGTTATTCCACTGGCATTGCGATTGCAGAGGGTGAATACCGACCATCGCTGATCCCCGCCGGAACCCTTATCCCTCAATGGGCCTACATTAAGCCCTCCGACTTTGATGGATCGTCAGTTCGCTATTTCCGATCAGAATTCATATCCTGATAGCTCGCTTTCCCCGTGATCCCTAGCTTCAACTTGGATGCAGCGAAGACAATTGGTGGTGCGTTTTCATTCTTGAAATCTTCATCGCGTATTCACGGGATCATTTGACTTAACTACTAGATGCACCCGAAAGCTCTCGCGTGTTTTCACTCAGTAGCACCACATCCAGCACAAGCAACACATTGACGACCATTACCATTACCTCAACTTCCACAGCTTCCAATAGTGCACATGGGAGCAGGGGCTCGAACACCGGTGCGATTGTAGGAGGCGTAGTTGGAGGCGTAGTTGCCCTTGCTGCCCTGATCGCAGTTGTTGCGATATGGATCTTCAAAAGGATGAGTTCAGACGGAGGCCCTGCTGTCCACTCGCAGGGACGTTCCGTATTACCCGTGGTAATGGAGAAAAACCACGAACACGCTCCTCTGTCGCCTGGATCCCTGGCCACCCACGATATTCAGCTCAAGGACATGATGCTTGACATGCGGCTTCGTCACCTTCCTCGTGGCCCCGCTGCGGGCTTGTGGAGGCGAGCCACTCTGAGTTGTAGCTCGGCAGCAACGGCCGAATTCGTAATCATCTCTCACCACTTGTGCATATCTCCAGTATTCATGGTGATCCAGTAACTCCAGATGTTCTAACAGCATGGATTTGTTATCGAAGCAATGACATATAGTTGATAAACTTACACCTTTCAATGCATGAGTCAATGCGACTTGAAGCCCATCTCAAAAACCCACCCCCGTGCACGGCAGGCCGTCTCGCAGTCGAACGTCACTTGTCTCTCCAGTTTTGATTGAGTACGTGGGACGTGGAGCTATGTCTGTTCCAGGGACGTTTAAAGATGCCTCCTCACTTCTCCAGGTGCCAAGTGAGTCACCCACTGTCAGTTGTCAGTCATCGCCTTTATGCAACTGTAATGATTATCAGAGAGAACCCGTGGAAGGTTGCGTCAGAACTCCAAGCAGTGTGTGGTGGGGTAGGGACTGGATTTGGATTCGTTATTCGCTTTTTGCATCTAGGATGGACTGTGACCCCCTCCCGCCCTATATTGGTGAGAGCGTAACATTGTCGTGTCACGCTTGAGGCTGAGGTTTGTCATTTCCCATATTTTTACATTACATTCTATCTCACATTGTATCTACCCAATTCCCTCATAGGTAGATCAATAAGTAGTTCTCATAGTTGTATCATGCTTGAGGCTGAGACGGACTATTCCATCATAGACCTTCCACAGCCCGCGACTATTTCGTCACAAAAAACGTGCAAGAAATTGTTGTCCCCAACTGTAGTACTTCTCAGTTTGCTCCTCGGGAACAGGCTCGGTCTTCAACTTGGGCTGTAACTTGCCAGCAACAAAATTCTTGACAAATTCACCGACGGTCTTGAAATTGACCTCAGTGGATTGATCCAATGGGTACTTGAGCTGACTTTTGATCTCTTGGATCACAAAGCTTGGCCACTTAGCCTCTGTGAGACCAAGAGATTTTGCGTGTTCAACGAATTTGATCGCATCAATCCAGACAAAGTTAACGACACCCTTTCGTTCTTTAGCAATGGGGCTGAGTTCCTTGATCAGCTCTTCCCGCTTAAGATCGGTTGGTTCAATGAAGATATAAGCAAGTGGGAGGCGAGATGTTGCAGAAAGGTGGTAGTTCTCTCCAGACATCTCGTCAATGAGAGGAACAGCATTGGATCTGATCCAGTCGGCTAGAGAAGCGATGTCGGTGGAGGCGATTTTCTCGGAAGGGAAGTCGTTGCGACCCTCATCGAACTTTTTGTAAAGAACGATAGCAGGTGGGGTGACGCCAGCCTCTTTGATGGCCACCTCATCGGTCGTTAAACCGAACAGGTAATCGTCACGGTAGGTCTCAGCAACGGAAGAGAAGGCAGGAATGGGGGCTTCTTCGGTAGAAGTAGCATACGCAAGCACAACGACCTTATCAGCGACCCTGAACTCTTCGAGATTCTCAGAGGCAACAGTCGAGACGGCCGGGAGAGATTGTCTGGAGTCCCTCATCAACAAACGAAAAACATAGGTGCGAAGGGCGCCAATGCACTCACTTGGTCATGTAACTGATGATGTCACCGGCTTGGCGAGGCCCTCTATATTCTGTCGGTTTCCCCTTTCTGTAGATCTTCAGCGTTGGGTAACCTAGTATATCACTTTCTGAGCAAAGGTCCGCCTGGTCAACGCAATCGACCTTCGCCAACGTGATGTTCTTCTCCTTCAAAGCTGTTGCAGCTTCCTCATAGTGAGGAGCGAGCGCTTTACAATGGCCACACCTAATTGATCAAAGCGTCCAAAATGAGCTTTGATGACGATGAGCAACCAAAACGTACCACGGCGCAAAGAACTCGACCAGTAAAGGGCCAGCTTTCTGCGTCTCAGCGCCAAAGTTAGCTGAAGTAAGGTCTATGACATCGCTGGGACCTTCGCCCGCCGCTACCCGCCTAAGTTCGGATCACGGAGACAATATTGTTAGTCAGCATGCCAGACAAGACGAAGGGTTGGTTGAGAGGAGCATTTACTGCATACCATGGAATGACAGCCCCAGCGATGAGCAGCAACGACTTGAAAAGGGAAAAGATGCGCATTTTTGAAGGAAAGGAGGGAATGGAGGGAACGTCTTTGCTTTATGTATATAAATGAACAGCCACATGCCATATGATTGATCGGCAAAAAGGCACGCTGAGCAGAAATCAAGCAGAAATTGCACAACCTATAAGACGAAATGGAGGACTAGCGATGTTGTCGCTCAGTCTGCTATGCGTGAACTGAGGAAAAGTCGTAATGTCCAAAAATTGGTGTTTTATAGTCAGGCGCTATCAATGCGCACTGACTTTAGCAACAACTGACCCAAAAAAGGGAAACAAAGTAGATCTTGGCGCCGCAAGACTTGACACCAACAACGTGATTGGCCTCAGCGTACGCTTGAATCCCAAGAAATCTAACAGCCTCTACAGTGGAATATAGAAGATAAAGGAACTTGTGACTGTGTGAAAACCAGCTAGGTAGCGAGCTCGATCAACGCCCCTTGGGATAAAAGCCAGGCTACCCTTCGCGAGTGATGTGAATGTGCCAAGCCAACGGAACCAAAGTTCCATCACGTGCCATGGAGTTCTATTTATATTATATAATCATGGAGTTTGAGTGCCAAATTCCAGCAGAATGACTTCCACGCGTCAAGCCACGGGGAGGAGAGCTGTCAATAAAGCTGTGTTATCCTCTGTCATCACGAAGGAGGTTGTTACCTCTGGAATACCTCAGACCGATGTTTCTCGTGCGGCCAAGTCAGCCCCTCCTCGTGTTTCGGGGGTTATTGCGCCCCAGGCGGGTCAGACTAATGCAGGTAGCTCACCTATCGCCCAGAGGCTACCTCGTTTGCCGAACAACCTGAAGTTCAAGAAAATCCCGAAGGAGACATCTTCGGAGAAACTCTCGGCGAGCGAGCTTGCTCGATGCCAGCAGCAGTGCTCCGAGTATTTGGTTTCCAAGGGGTGCGCATTCGCATATCGAATAACATTCATGCAAATTGTGTAACTCGTGATTATTAGGTTGCCAACGTTGCCACCAACGGAGACCCCCTTCCAAAATACAGTCCCCTCCCCATTAGTGGCCCCAACAGGTGGTGCTAGTCAATCTGGATCAAGAAGCATGGATGTCGTTGAAACTACACCTGGAAATCTCAGACAGTCTCCACCGCGAGGTTGCCACGTGCACTTACCCTGGCGTTCAAAGCGAGATCATTTGGCTGCTCGCCAGCCTTATCTTTGGGACCTGCAGCATCGGAAGCGTACGTCTCCAATACCTTCCCCAGGCCCAAGAAAGGTGTCTCATCTGCCCTCTTCTTCTCATGGATGTGGTGATCATTCTTCTCCTCGTGATGCGCCTTCCCCTTCTCGGTGGCCCACTTCTTCCCCTCCTTGGCCGCGTGCTCCCTCCCCCCATCAGCGCACTCCTTGCCCTCTTGAGGTCGCCCCACGCCCACCCCCTCCTTCTCGTGGGCCCACTCCCTCTTCTAAGAGGCCTGCCTCTCCTCGCCCACGCTCACCTTCCACCCCCCAGCAACATGCCCCTTTCCATCAGCGCCCATCAGTAACAAGTGTTGATGAAAAGACGGATGTGGATGCCCCATCGTCGCAACCACTACAAGAGCAACTAGGTGTAGGTGATTCCGGACCTGTATCTGTGAGTCGGGTTGGACCCTTTTCCGAACACGCTCGGGCGTGGTTTGCAAACTCTCCTGTTGTAGAACATATGTCGCCTGCCCCACCTACTCAATCCTGTCAGACTCTCCCCTACGCATCCTGGCATTGCTTAAGAACCCCCCTTGACAGTGTGCACTTCGAGTCGTTTGACAGAACGACTCTGAACACGTGGGCTAAGGGTCTCTTCAACATATCCGGAGTGTATGCCGTTACTCAGATCACGGCCACGAAAACATCTTCCAAGTATGGAAAATGGCACGTTGCGGTCTTGGCAAAACAACGCAGTGTTCTGGATGAAGTCCTTGCAGCTCTGTCAGCGGACAGTGAGCGCTACCATGCTGCGCTCCAGCACTCGGTAATAGTCCCGATCGATCCATTCTCCGGAAAGGAGGCTTTGAGATATATTTGGGATTCCCGCTTTGATTTACACTACATTGGGCTGGTATGGGAGGAGTTTGAGTGGGGACTCAAGCGGAATTGTTTTCTTGTTGATGCACCACCAGTTTTAACTAACGAAAACATCGGCGACGAGCTTCTTTACCACGCATGCGCTCCTCTGGCCCCAACGCATGATGAAATAGTTCCCAGGGATGCAATTCTAACTGCATTCGACTTTGGCCCTCACGTACTTCGGGCTTGGTACGATGGATTGCCATCTTACTTGAAGACGTATGATGTGACTCGATTTATTCTTGTTGCCCGTGCATATGACTCCGCCATTTTAAAAGGGAAGAAGGCATTCATGACCAACATTTGGCGGACAAAATCGGACATAGACAGAGCCATTCGGAACTTGATGCTGTATCTTCGCAATTCGGATGATGCTGTCCAGAGGGTATCGAAGGAGAAAACGGAGTCATTCCAGTACTTGAGGGGTCAACGAAAATGGCGACTCACAGTCGACCTTACTGTCACCGACTTTTGCCCTTATTTCCGGATCGAATAAGAGTACTTCCTATATTGTTCAACGATGAATCCTGTACATAAGCGCAATCAATTTGTGTCGAAATTTTTTTCGACCCTCCGGACGACACCGAACAGAAATCATTGGGTCGAGGTTAGGTGTCAGAAGTGACCGCTGACAACTCTCTTACAATCTTTACAGGTCAATTAAGAGGCAGTTGCAACTGTTAGTGATTGGTAGCCGTATTTACGACTTGAGATCTTCGGTCCTGTGCACTTCCAAGTAGCATCCTCACTTCACGTCATCCCTGATTGATCCATTGCCGTTTCTACGGCTTGAGGTTTTCAGGCTTGCGTGATTCTAAGCTTTAGAGCCCCTGTTCGACTGATAGTTGTTCTTTACGGCTTGAAGTCTTCAGGCCAACTCAAATTTTATTTGCCAATTAGAAGAGCCATCTTGGCGGCCGAAAGTCAACACTCCGATATCTGTGGCCTTGTCAGCCGTTGACTCGAGGTTTCACTCACAGGGGAAACTACCTCGAGTGGACGCATTGTTAAGCGCTCTGCCCGCTTGCGTGCGTCTCTGGAGGGTCCTGCCGGTGCAAACACGGCCCCTGCCTCTAACGAAACGGATGTTTCCCTGCCGCCTTCTTCTGTTGCTGGCGTGAAAACGGGTCCCCGCTCTAACAAAAAGGGTGCTGCCCCGTCACCATCTTCTGTCATCTGCAAGAACGCCTCGCCTTCTAACAAAAAAGGCGCTGCCTCGCCGGCATCTTCTGTCACCAGCAAGAAAACCGCCTCCCGCTCCACCAAAAAGAGAGTTGCCCCGCCGGCATTTTCTGTTGTCCCGCCGGTTGTCCAATCATCATCACCTACCGCTCCACTATCAACGTCTATTACCCTTCCACCAGATCCCCAGCCCGCACAGCCAGCAATAGCTGAATCGAGCTCGTCAGTTCAGGTTGTTGATTCACTACGTAGGTGGAGGCCATCATCTTCAAAGGAGCCGTCTCCCAATCAAGCCTTCGATTCTCTCCCTAGCAGCCCAGGGACCTCGGTGCCGGACTCCCCTCGCCTGCCTCCTCGCCACAGGGGGTCGGGCATGAAGCAAGGGGAGGTGACTCGCGACCTCGGCTCCCGAGGCAGGAGCCCTCCCCCGTTATTCTAGAAGAGCCTCTGGCAATTAACGTAGCGCCAGAACTGCAGCAACCACATCCAGATGAAGATAAGGCATGTGCGATGTCACCAAGGTCGATCTTGGATTTGCTCTCTGCTCCAGTGCCCTCCAGGGCACCCACACCCTACCCGATGATTTGGCAGGTACGAACGCGGTTGACTTGTCTGGCCTCATACTGATGGAGAATGATGATAATGAGGGGGCTGAAAACAATGTGGGGGACACTGAGGGAGGAGACTCCACTTCGGCACGGGTAGTCGAGTTGCGCGGTGGTCCGTTGACTCCCAGTCAACGTGAAATTATACATGATCTGATGGAGCGGCATGTCAAAACTCTGACAAGATATGCGTGCGAGTGGAACAAGTCCCCGGAGACTTTGCTGAAGGCGGCCCACTACATGGTCACTACGAAAAGTCGTCGACAGAATGGGAACAGTTGGAATGCCTTCGAGTGTCTTCACAAACGAGGCGACATTTGCCTCAGGCGCCAGCAACCCGATTCATCTCTCCCTCGTACACCAGAGGGCACTGAAGCGGAGATCCGCAATGAATATGAGAGCCAAATCAGGAGTCTTGGTGGCAAGACATCACCCGAATGGAAAGAGCGGGCAGCGAAAATAACGGAGCAACACAGTGAAGTCACCAAAAGCGTCGTTAGCCAGCTTGCCTCCGACCCTCACATTCAGGCTCGGAATATGGCCTTCTATCGTGACCGCATCAAGAAGGATATGACCTGGGCTGCGTTATGTGGGATCCACATGGCACTTGTTATGGTCTCAGCCACGGACCATCCTGCCACACAGAAGCACAATGGTGTGTCGACGAACACGGCAGCAATGGAGGCTTGGTTTCAATCCATCTGTAAATCCAACACCATTCTTTTTGACAACATTCGGACGTTCGTCACACAACGTGATGGGAAAAATGCCGATGGGGAGTTTGTTCCACCCCCAACGCCCTGTTCTCGTGACGACTGCCGGACTGCCTCACGCGCCCATCTTGCCAACCAACTGCTTGCCTTTGTTGTGGGCAATAATCCCTTGAACGGGCAGTTTCCTTGGGGCATGCTTCCGAAAAAGCTTCTCGATGCCGGCCGCTGCCTCACCCAGTGCCCGGATGATGCGGAATTCGACTAAATGGTGTCCCAGCAGACTCCAGTCCCCTTTGGATGCGGGACCTTTGCTTTCCCTGGGGTTTTGATGGAGCCTCGGCACTCTGCAACATCCTTTGGCCAGGGGATGGTTACCTACAACCCTGAGACTTCAATGACGCTTGCAGCAAGCTTCGGCCTCCTTTGGTCCAGAGATGTTCACTCCCGACCTGCTGTTACAAAATCAATCTACGTTGTTCCCTGTGGGGTTCCATGAGCAGACAGGCTCTAATGGACTCTTTGACACCGCCCTCGCAAATCTTGGTGATCCCTCTACACCGAGTTTCCCTGACGCTTCTGGTTTGTTTACCGGGCCATCTGCCCCCTCTGCCTCCCATTCGAACTGGACCGCCAATTTTGGTTATGAGGCACTGTCGTTATTCGTTGTAGTTATACTCCATTCCTCATTTCTCAATGCACTCTTCGCATTTCTTGAATTTTGCACATCTTAATTTCTTCACGTACTCTTCACAAACCACATTGCATGATTGTATATACCGCTTAGGGAAAGAATGTGTGGGGGGTAAATAGTGGGTAAATATAAGGGGTGGCTTGATGTTACCTCTCGTAATCAGTTGGTTATCAGCCAGGTATGAGGGGAAAAAAAAGTCGCAGAGCCGCGTCGTCGAGCAACGGTTCACGCCACACCACTCCCCCCATCGGCCGACCATGACCGTAGCCTCATAACTCGGTACTCGAGAGCGATTGGCTACATTGGGTTGATCCGCTGATCCGCCACAAAAGATGGCACGGGCACGATGACGTCGTGTCAAGTATATAATAATGTACAGTCAACGCCGCAAAGGCCAGTTTTTTTTCCCATGGGCCGGTCAAGGCTGCTTATTCACAAGCAACAACAGCAGGGGGTTTGTCATCATGACATCCCACGCACGACATAGTAATAAATAATTTTGACCGGGACAACCGTTCCGACTGCCCCCCCGCACCGCAACCATTGGTCTACATAGAGGTCGTTCAACTATAATGCATGCGTACTTGGCCAGGATGCAACACAACGCGTAATAGACGCACGTTAGGTTCAAGTGATCCATACATGGTGACAATCATGGCAGTTGTGTGTTGCAAGTTCGGTCCATGGAAAAGATGCAAATCGATCAAAGTTAAACGCCTAGCTAGGTGAATCGACAGAGGAGAGCACGGAAAGAGATGATACAACATGAACAAAAGAGCTTGAAAAAAAAAAGACATGAATCAGTACCGCCGTAAAATATCCTCTTTCACAGTCCACTTTTCAAAGGGATCTGCGATAGAGGTCCTAGTATGTCTCATCCGCCAGCCTAGCTTTGCTGCCTCTTCACTCAGCATGTCATGGATATACACGAAGCCGTCACAACGGAATTCGGCATGGAGAAGCGAGGGACTGGCACGCGCGCAGCCATCCGACATGTCATCGAGCCAACCCACAATCCCCTCATCGAAGTAATCCTCGGTCGGGTCACGCTCGGCCGGGTCCACTAGTAACACGCTGACTTCCCAGGAGAGCGTTTGAAGGTATTTTAACGATTTCACAACGCCAAATAAAGAGCTGGTAGGGCATTTTTGGTCGAAAGGGGACCAGCAGAGCCGAACTAGAATAGAGCCGAATTGGATCGTCAAATCGGCGAGGAAGGTGAATGTCTTGATTACTTGATAGGATGGTGGGATTTCGCTATCCGATCCATGGTCCTCTCTAATGGTCAAGCTGCGAAGTGACAATGCAGAATCCTTGAGCGATTCCAGATCGTGAGGTTGACGCGGCCAATCTAAAGTGTCGTCCAGGAATTCCACAGAGGCGAGCGTTGTACATCCTCGTGCAAGGTGCAGCGGCACATCCACCATACGGAGCTTTGATAAGGAAGGGAGTGGAATCGCAGGAGGAATGAAATTGAAATTGTTTATGGAATGCAAGTTGACGTCCGTAAGGTTTGGAAATTTCGAATCCATAACCAATCTCTGCACATCGGAACAATGGAGCTGCTTCAAAGATGGCATGTCCGACAGGGATAATGTGTCAACACCTCCGACAAAAAGATATTCCAATGCACGCAGAGTGGACGACATGTTGTCAGGAAAGCGGATATGCCCACATCCGAGTTCAACCCTCACAGATTTGAGTGAGGGTATTGGGGGCATCTCGAAATTTCTGGCACGATATATCGCCAAGTGCCGAAGCTTAGGTTGTGAGGTCAAGAAACCACCCCACTTTGATCGTGTGATATCGTCATATATAGATAACGTAATGGTCTCCAGCTGACATTGTGCTGAGGTCCACATGGTGGGGAAGCTGCCCAGATCCTTGCCCTCACCGAACAGAGTCAACTCGATGAGATGTGAGAATTTGGTGAAGATACCTATAAGTCGTTCGAGAGACTCTTGCACCTTGTCCTCAGGTACATCGCGGGAAGTACTAACCCAGAGGTTCAGACGCTTCACGACAGACACCGAAGTAGTGTTCATGAACTGATCGAGCCTTTCGAAATCTTCCCGGTCACGTAATGCAGAAAATTTGAAGCCCCGGAAGAGGAGATATGCGCAAACACGCCGAACGTTGCGACTTGTGAGACTCATGCCATCGCGCAAGGTATCGAAGTCAAGAAACGTGAGTATGTGATGCGCAACCTCGTATGGAAGTCCAAGAAAATGAACTGGCTTTGTGAGATCCTTATCGATCACGCATGTTAATATATATATATATATGACGTTGAGGTTGTTGCAAACTGCATTTGCGCTCACCTGTGCCCCATCTATCTGGTTGGTAACTTCGTTATAACGCCCGTCGGACGATAGGGATAGGCCCAAGACTCTTTTGTCTTGGGCTGAGTGCCCTTCCATACATATCAGTACCACCAACTATGTGGCCACTACAATGTACATACCCATCTTATCGTGATCGTGTTGTTGAGAGTAAGAATATTCGAATTCACGGCAATGTCCATTGCATTTGAATGCTCTCGATGTCCAGAGGCAACCCAACCAGCGGGGAAGTTGTCTAGGAGATGTTTAGGACTACTGAACAGTTTCAACTCGTTGCATTAATAGCTTTGTCGCGTTTCTTTCCTTTGAGAAAACGCAGCTTATTCCGACAGATCCACCTGAAAGTTCGCAGATATTCCCATCGAGCACGAGTTCCCAGCTTTCCATTCCGGGCTGAAGGCCCTTCCCCTCGTGCAACGAACGCCCTGCGTTTCCTATCTTATTATTTGTCATCATCCTCAAACTTCTTCAACCTGGTTTATTATTTATAATCTAGTCTGTACCAAGTATTCTGTTGGGGGTGCTATTGTTGGATGCTCAATTTATATTTACGTGCAGATTTTTCATGTACTCCTCTCGGACTGTTAACAAATTGGTTTCATCGTGAGCTCCCAAATACGCTTTGGCGCCTTCATTGTAATCATGCTTCCAGCTTTTGAGTCAACGTGGTATCAAGTGACTTATGTAATCGATCGAAACATTTGTGTAATGATTCTGGTATTACTGATTACCGTTGCGGTTGTGTGAAACCGGGGTGGCACGGCTCGATCAACGTCCCATGGGATAAAAACCAGGCTACTTTTTCATGGGGTTCTCAAGCGCCTTGGCGGCCGCCCATTTCTGGCTTTTGGATCCGGTGCTCCACATGCACATGGCCGTGCGTTTCCCCGCACCCCCGCAGGCTCGGCCAACTCTGGGGGATGAACCATTTGCCTTGAGGCTGATTTCCTACAGGGCGTCAGGCCCGCGTTCTGAGGCGAGGCTGGAATTTTTTCCGGTTTCAGAATTAAGCTTTGCCCGAGCTAGGCATTTCAATCGAACGCTATCCAAATATGATCTTGTTCTGCGTTGTACTTGCTTGTCATGTCGGCTCTTGTGCAAACAGACGGAAGCCTGCAAATTGCAGATCTCTGAATGGATCATCTGTCTTATGGAATTCTATGATATTGAAAGTGCTGTGATCGCGAGATCTTGACCTTAGAACAAACATAACATTTATAAGACAAATAGACAAATCAGTTCGGCCAAAGGGGAAGTTGCGTTAAGATTAACGGGACTACTGCAAACGCTGCTTTTCCTCGACCTCCTGCTCTAACTCGTTAATGAGAGGCTGCCTGCTGCTCTGAGCTTGGATCGAACGGTGCTAATCACGCAAAGAATGCCGTCTTTTCAGTCACAAATTGCACAACGGTCCACTGGGTTGCTTTTAATTGCCTTGATTATCCGCCAAGCTTGTCTCTTCAAGATTCTCCTAGGTTTCGGGGTCGATAAGGCATCGGCTCAAGAGGTGCGTGCCTCTGGGAGGCGGCTTTGTTTTTAAACCTTCGAGGAAAGCTAAGCGCGTGGACCACCTGGGATTTTTGGGTGCCTTGTAGACCAATGTGACTTGTCCCCATAGCTTTCAGTGGGTGAATAACATATAGGCCTGCATCATTCGTTGGGTTGTGCAACTGATCTTCTTTTTGTTTCTTCAGGCTTTCAATTCCCAAGGGTAAGTCGATAATACGTATCAGCTGCAGCGCTTACGGTCCAATGACTAGAAAATCTCCTTGCAAAGTTGGCTCGGAACTTATTGCAGTGGGTGTTGGAGGTGAGGTTTCCATTAATACACATCATTCACTTTCTCCACTGACAGTCAAGTTGATGACAATCAGGAAGATGGTTCGTTCCAACGCTCCCTCCCGGATGGGTATACGTCGGTATGCGCAAAGTCTTTACGTAGCCTTGTGCTCGCTGAAGGACAAAGGCCCAGTGCCGAATAGTTCGGAGGGTTACTTCCCAAACGCTTGTGTGTGCTCCGACTCCCCTGGCAGTGGCTTGAATTCTAAACTCGCCCATAGGCCTGTGTTCCTCCGTGGTATACCAGCTGATGGCAGCATGTGGAGCATGTCAGAACCTCTCCTACACGTGGTATGTAGGGTTGTGTCTACTTACTCTTCCATGTCTAACGGGTAATCTAGGTATCCCCTCTGGGACCGTTATTGCGCTAGCATTGCGATTGCAGAGGGCGAATACCGACCATCGCTGATACCTGCCGGAACCCTTATACCTCAATGGGCCTACATCAAGCCCTCCGACTTTGATGGATTGTCAGTTCGCTACTTCCGATCGGAATTCATACCCTGATAGCTCGCTTTGCCCGTGATCCCTAGCTTCAACTTGGATGCAGCGAAGACAATTGGTGGTGCGTTTCCATTCTTGAAATCCTTATCGTGTATTCGCGGGATGGTTTGACTATTAGATGCGCCCGAAAGCTCTCGAGTGTTTTCACTCAGTAGCACCGCATCAAGCACGTCCAGCACAAGCAATACATTAACTTCCATTACCATAACCTCCACAACTTCCACAGCTTCCAATAGTGCACATGGGGGCAGGGGCTCGAACACCGGTGCGATTGTAGGAGGCGTAGTTGGAGGTGTGATTTCCCTTTCCCTGGTTGCAGTTGTTGCGATATGGATCTTCAAAAAGATGAGTTCAGACGGAGGTCCTGCCGTACACTCGCAGGGTCGTTCTGTGTTACCCGCGGTAATGGAGAACACCCACGGACATGCTCCTCTGTCGCCTGGATCGCCGGTTTCACGACATTCGGCCCAAGGGCGTGATGCTTGACACGCGGCTTCGTCACCCTCCTCGCGGTTCAGCTACGGGCCTGTGGAGGCGGGCCGCTCTGGGTTGCAGCTCGGCAGCGGCGCCCGAGTCCGTAATTGTCTCTCACCACTGGTGCATATCTCTTCTGGTTGTCAAGCAGTATAGTGGGGTTGGCCGAATTTATTGTGGAGAGAACAGTGAATTTGTTTTGGCACATAATCGATAAACTTGCACCTTCCAACGCATGCGACTTAAAGTCCACTTCAAAAATCCACTCTCGTGCGCGGCAAGCGTCACTCATGTAATATCCTTTGTGCCATTTTGGAAGGCGCCCTTGATCACAACCTTTAGGCTTCGTTCGGTATGAAGAAACAGGCCTGTTTCTTCCAGTTTTTCAATTCAATATTCTCTCTCATTTCTTCTACCTAAAGAAACAGGAAGAAACAGACCAAAGAAACCTGTTTCTCCATACCGAACGAAGCCTTAGGAATTCTGTTCTCTGCCATTGTAAGTTCCCGTATGCACACAAGACCCACGGTAAGACATCAGTGCAGCTAGTATCCCAGCGGAGCTACCCCACTGAACCCTCACCCTTAAGCCCGCCGACTTCAACTCAGATCGCGGCGGCCCGGGACAGTGCAGTCACCGGTGAGATCCCAGTCGTCGCCTAGTTATCCTAGCTAGTTAGAGGCCTTTGCTTGGAACTTATCCACATAAGTATATGATGACCCAGTGCGTTTGAGTACTTGGTGCCCGGGCTTGCACATTTGATGGGATTGTGGGATAGATTTGGGGAGCAATCGAGTTGGATGCTAGGCAGATTATCAGCCTCTATTGGATACTTGGATCTACTACCAAGTGCTTTGATCACATATGTACCGAAGCTACATAGTCGGAACGGCCCCAGCCGGTAGATGTTTGTTGTTATTGTTGTTTATTCTGGATATTTACCCTGCAGACTGCAGCCGGTGAGACTGTAGGCTGCTCGTGAGAGCGCCAAGGGCAGGGGTCGAGATAAATACACAAAAATAAGGTGAGAAAATAAAGAAATAAGTCCGATTCGGGTGTCCTTAATCTCTCTGATAAGGCGTTGCCCGAATGCTGCTCCACTTTTGAGTTGTCGTCCCCCAGCCGATAGAGAACACCACATTTTCATTGAGGCGGCTTCCAGCCTTCCAGAATTTTTTGTGTTGGTCATATTATACAAGGTGGTTGCCCGAGGAATGCCCTCTTTACAACGGCGAATCGCCCTGTGGTCGCCCGCCCTTTGGCCTCATGTTGCAATTGGATCGGTTCTCGGTCGGGCGCCTACCTTGTTCTTGTTCTTTCTAGTGTTTTGGAGCGATAAAGTTCTGGCGCAACAGGTGCGTTCTTCTAGGGAACTACTTTTTAACTTGGTCCTTTGAGGATGGGTTCGATCACGGTTAATGTTATGCATCTCTTTGTATTGACGCGCGCTTTGTATGTAGACCAATGTCACTTGTGATAGTAGCTTTGATTGGGTGAGTGGGATATTGGACTACGTCTCTGAGATCTGCACAAAGAACGCTATCTTCTCCAGGCGTTGAATAGCCAGGGGTGGGTCACCGACTGGCGCTTGTCAGCAGGCATGTTTATATTGCCCGATAACCACCAGACATAACCCTTGTAAGGTTGCTTCGGAACTTCAGGCAGTGTGTTATGGAGGTCAGGACCATACCGGTACTCGTTCTCAATTCTCTTACTGACCTGTACCAACTTATTAGGATGGACTATAGACAGCCTTCCGGCAGGATGGCATTATATTGGTAAGAGCAGGACGTGATTTAAAGTCAGCATGCTTACTGGACAGGAAAGGCCCGGAACCGGACAATCCAAGAAATAAGCCGAACTACTGTGTGTGCTCTAGCTAGGCGACGACCGCATCGGGTTTGATCACTCAAAATCCCATTTTTGATAGGCACTTGCACCTCCATTGTATACCAACTAATGTCGGCGTGTGGAGCATGCCAAAACCTGACATTTATCTCGTATGTCAATCATCGCAGATTCCTGTCGCCATACCGATGTACAATCCAGGTACCCTGCTTGGACAATTTACTGCACCAACATCTCGACTGTTGAGGGCGAATACAATCCGAAATTTATCCCGTTCGGTGGTCTGGTGCCCAACTGGGCCTACATCAAACCTTCCAGCTACGGCGGGTTGTGAGTCTATTTCACTCACCAGAAACATCTTCAAGCTGTACCAACCTCCTTTTCCTAGATTCAACATAGAAATTGCCAAGCTAGTTGGGGGTATGTTCCATTTGTCTTCGTCACATTTTTTTGAGATACTCATTATCCTTGATGGGATGGTTCCGACAGATACACCCGAAAGTACGCAGTTGCTCACATCGAGCACCACGTCATCCGAGTCAAGCTCAAGTACGACGTCCTCTATATCTACCATGACGTCGTCGAGCCAACATTCAACCACTACCACAACAACCACTAAGGGAGGGGGCGGAGGCGGAAGCTCCAACACCGGTACAATTGTAGGAGGTGTGGTTGGGGGTGTGGTTGGCCTCGGCTTGGTTGCAGTCCTTGCAATATGGGCCGTGGGAGGGTTGGGATCAGGCACGGATCCCAGTCAATACGCCCCACCTTCCGGTGGCTCATGGCGCAGAAACTCCACGAACCTCCCGAGTATGGCTACCTCTCCGCATCCTCCGTTTCAGGAATTGCACCTTGTGTCGCCGATCCAGCCCGAGCATCACAGATATAGTGGTGCACCTGAAGTCTAATTTTTTCTATAGTGCTGCAGTTCAAAGGCTATTTCTCTGTGCAACGAGTACGCTTCGCATCCCCCCGGTCTCTTGTCATCTATTATCGTTCAGGAACATCTCCACCGATACTTCCTACCTATCCACTCTACATCCTTCCGTTGGAGGCACATTTTTGATGCTTAATTTAACATGTCATTCTGTGCCCTGGAACCTCTCGACATACCCAGCACCACCAGCACTCCCCCCCCTGACAATGACACCCGTACTATGAGCTTACAAATACGAAGTTCGGCTTGCGCGTGCCTTCGTGACTTGTGGTCTGGGTGCTGTACACTTCAACGCAGTGATGTGTCAATGACGAACTTGAGTCAACGTGACGTCGTTCAATTTAAGCGACGCATCAACTTTAGCTCCCATGGCAAAGGATGATCGGTGGAGGCAGTGCATATTATGAAGCTAAATAAAGCTGCGCCTTCGATCAAACTCAGATCCGGTTTAACGGCACCGGTTCCCAAGGCGTCAGGTTCCATTGGTTGGCAACACTGAATAGGACCCAAGTTTCTGCGATTCCTTTCCTAAAGTGTTGATGTTATTTTATGAATCAAATACTGTTCGAATATGATTCTCTTCTATGTATGGTTGTGCGAGGGTGTGTGTGGATTGAAAAAGGTGGCGCTCGTCCAACGAATTGTTCGGAACTTTCCAATGTCTTTCTCTGGCGTATCCTCTGGTATGGATATTCGGACACTATGATACACTTACCTTACTGGCCCTTCCTACACCTGACTTTAAATGGATGAAGGTCATCTTCCGGGAAGGAGTTCAGAAGTGCGCGTGGTCCCAAGCCTCACGGTTCCTGCGGCTTGATCCAAAGTTTGAGCATTAGGTAATGACATTGACAAGCAAGGTAAGATGACACGGCATTTAGGAAATGTCCCAAGAATACAAAGATTTTGGGCTGACTGACATGGAAGGACGCAAACCCAAGATGTCTTATCATGGCATTGCCCAACGCGCTGTCGCAAAGCCTGCACTAGTGCCTGACCGAAAAGTGTGCCTACTGCAACGCTCCTGACTTACTTCTCTCCCCCTTCCATTTCTTTGCTGACTTGTTACTCCAGGAAACAACCAAACTACTTAAAAGCGGCTGAAAATGACAATGATGACAATATCCAAATCAGGGACCAGCTTCCCCCGCAGCGAAAAAGCGAACTCCTTCTAGTGAGGCCCGAGGGTCGGGTTCCACCGACGAGTGAACTGTGTGTTCCCCGCCATTTGCTCTGCCATCTACCCCGTCACCTACCCCCCTAATCACTCCACCGATCATACTGCCACTGTCACCCCATATCCCCGAAACCCACTTGCTCTTGGGACCTACGCCGACCTCACAGACCCCGAGGGGTTAAGCTCGGTGGCTTTCCCCCGTGTTTAAGTGCGGGATTTACCCTACGGGATGGGGGATGGTGACCCGCCCTTGTAAGTCATGGGTCCCCCGTGCACCTCACTAAGATTTAGTCTCCGGCCTCCAGCCGTCACCATCATGGCGGCTCACCATTCATATCAATATAGCCTTGGTATACTTCCGATACTTCTAATGACAAGTGCCTGTGTAACATATAGTACAAATGCCAGTTTCACTATTAAAACAGGCGAGGTCAGTTACCCACCAACACTTCTAGGGCCATGGCGCGCACGCGAGTGTGCCTGCCAGGGAAGATCTAATAAAAATGCAACGGCATTTACAGCGACAGGCACTGTGCGCGAGCTGTTTAATACTCCATCGTTCCTAATCCTACAAAGGTATTCGTTACATCATGGTCCGAGTCCCAGCTCAGTCTCAACAGACAAAACACAAATTCCGAGACTCGCAGTATCTGGAAAATGGTCAGGAGCAATACTGTGGATGCTGCCGCGAGGCTCAGCGTGCTTGACTTCGATAACCAACCCCCCAATAGAAAAGATTAAGCTTCAGGATAGCCACTGTATCCTTGATTCGCATATTGCGCGTTTTGAGGCACATGCGGTACAGGGAAAGGTTCTTGATACGATGCGGGTTGTGTATTATCACCCATTGTCGTAGGCAGCGATGGGGCCCCCTGCGAAACGCCCTTACTACTCGGATTTCTCCGACTGAGGATCCCCAGGGCAAGGACTCCAACCAAGCCAAGGCCGACGACACCTCCAACGACACCACCGGCAATCGCGCCGGTGTTTGTGCTTCCTCCACCACGGGAGGTAGTTGTCGTGGTACTAGTAGTGGTTGTAGTGGTTGTAGATGTGAAAGTAGATATGGGAGTCGTGGTAATGGAGGGTGTGGTGCTTGCTCCGGATGTCGCAACAGACGATGACAGCAATTGCGTGCTTTCAGGTGTATCTACCGTGACGATCCAACAAAATCACCGTAAGCATACAAAAATAATTGAATGAAACCTACCGCCAATCAATTTTGCAGCTTCTATGTTGAAGCTACGCATCGCGGGGAGGAAAAGATGTTAGCATGAACCCCATTAGGAAGGAAAGGACTGACAGCCCAGCGTAGTCGGAGGGCTTAATGTAGGCCCAGTGGGGTACCAGGGTGCCGGGGGGGATCAAAGATGCTTTGTATTCGCCCTCCACCGTCGCAATGCCGGTGCAATAAATTGTCCAACCGGGATAACTAGACTACGCATTAGACAGAGTGATGGTGTAGAGACTAAGTAATCAACGCACGATCCGTATGTCCCGTTCTGGCATGCGGCACACGCCGATAACAGCTGGTACACTATCGAAGTGCAGGTGCCTGTCGAATGTGGTTCCGGGTTTCAAAATCTAAACAAAATCGTTGCTGGAGTCGAATTAACATACAGATGCTTGGTTCATTGCTCGTGTTTGGTTGCGGGACTTTGTCGTCTGGTGAGCGCGGTGTCGTGTGAATCATTCTATATCTTACCACCGTAGTGGCCGCCTGCAGGAATGGCGGACACGGACCATCCTAGTGTTATCGAGAAGAGTCAGTCATCCACACGAAGGATGTCAAGTCAACCCTTGCCTCCAGCACACCCGGCCTGAAGTTCCGAAACGACTTTGCAAGGGCTTTTTCTAATCATCATTCGAGGCGCTGGCGCTTGGCGAGCATTTCGTCATTGACTTACCCTGCACTATTGAATGACTGAAAATTATTGAGCGGTACTCAGTGAGGTGCAGCCTAATAATGTGTCTCACCCAGTCCCAGCCACTCATGCAAGTCGCATTGGTCTATAAGTAGGCACCGATTAATCATACAGTCGGCGCTTGTCAAATATTTGAGTAAGGTCAACCTCTGTACATACACTTTGTGCTGATGCCCTACCACCTCCAAGGGGTAGAAGAAGCATGAAGAGGATAGCACCCTGGCGGAGGAGCGAAGCAGCCGCAGAGAGCCCAAGTGAGCTTTGCGCTTGCGCGATCGGTCCTTTGAGTGAAAATTGCATTCTCGCGATCTATCACAATACAACCCAGTGTGGCCCTAGTGTGACCCACGGGTAGGATTACAAGGCACCAGAAGCTTCAGGCTAGCCTTCAAGGCTCAGATGGGTGTAAACCGCGCGACGCTTATGTCATGTCATCGAAATTGGCCGGATAATCGGCGCCTGCCGATTTCTGAGTCATACCTGCCAAGAGCCCTCAGTTCGTACGCTGATGAGCGATCCCACCACCCGGAACCCACGATCCACGACCCATGCCGGAGCTGCAGTCTGATAACAGCAACTAATCCCATTCATTCTATCCCGTCTGATATGGAGCCAAGCAATGGTTGTAAATTTCTCGCGAATGAGTAAGGTGGATACCTAGCTGTACGATGTTAAGTCTCAACCTTGCAAAAATATCCCCTACTCTGGCAAGGTCTGTGTCACGACTTGCTTCACAATCAAATTTCGAAACGAGCAGGAGCATGATGGAACTGATGGAAACACTCAAAAGGGGTGGACGATCGGGGGGTGGACTTCTAAATACTACAGAAGAACCCCATGAAGGGGATGATCGAGCCTCAGGATGGTCACTGCATTCCTCCTGGTTGGGATGCAAGGGTGTACTAGACACATGTATTCGCGGCGAGTCCGAAGGGACCGTGCTTGGTCCCGTCACAGAACTGTGCCCAGAGCAAAGCCAACTGACCCACCAACTGCACCTCTCATGTATGCCCCAGTGTTCGAGCCTCTTCCCCTACTGCCACCTCGGAAGTAGTCGTCGTCGTGGGAGTGGGTGGTAGGGGTGCTGACCGTGGAAATGGTGGGATCGTGGGAGTCATAGGAGTCGTGGAGGTTGTGGTGTGGAAGACGTCGTGCTCAATGGCAACAACCGCGAACTTTCGGGTGCGTCTATCGGAGCGATCCATGAAGCATTTCAGGAAAAGACGAATGTTGCGCACCGCCAATTTGCTTCGCAATTTCTACGTTGAATCTGGGAAATGCAAATGTTAGAATATATCTCCAACTGGGTGAAATGAACTCACAGTCCACCGTAGCTGGAAGGCTGAAGCGGGGTACAATAGTGCCACGAGGAATCAATGGCGGGTTAGACACGCCCTCCGAGGTCGAGATGTTGGTGCAGTCAATCGTCCATGCCAAGTACCTAAGTTACGCATTAGAGTCACCGTAGTCACTTGACACCCGAGATAAATGCGCGGTCCTGGCACGCTCCACACGCCGACATCAGCTGCTGCTGAGCATACGAAGTTCGGGTAATAGCGTTACGTTCTCACCAATACAGTCATATCCTGGCGGGATGGAAGGCACGAACCATCCTGATTATCGCGAGTCAGTAGGTTCAGGAAGCGAACAACAAGCGCAAATCCGATCCTTACCTTCATTACATACTGCTTGAAGTTTTGACGCAACTTTACATAGGGTTTCTCTGGTAATCATTTCAACCTTACAGGGGGTTCATCGACAACTTCTTAAAGTCATTGACTCACTTGGCGCTTTTAACGCCTGGAGAAGTGAGGGTGTTTGAGCGACCCTGGAACAGACATAGCTCGATATCCCACCTACGCAATTAAAGCTGGAGAGACAAGTGACATTCGACTGCAAGCGTAATGGATAACATCAATCCTCTCCCGATAAGGCTGGTTTTCAAAAAGACATACACATTACGCTAACGCTCCATACGCTAGAAAGAGCAAAGAGAAGAGAAGCGTTTGACGGAAAATTCCCGCTACTCCGTAGCGGGTCCTACGCCCAAACTCAATTGTCCTATGCACAAGGTCCTGTATGACCCCCAAACCCAGGGTCCTTTCTCTGCCCCATACAGTTCCGCTGCATGGCTGCAGTGTAAATTACGTGGTCCTGAAATCAGAGTTATGCGCAGAGCGAGAGCGAATCTCGGGCTTCGTCTCAGCCAATAGCAATGTTGAGAGTGAACATGCATGCGAGGTAAGAGTAGCGGGATCTGCCGCTTCAGGCGGCGTTCCCCAGTTATTGAATCCATCGTGGCATCAGATGAGTGCGCTCGAGATTGAGAAGACGACGTCTTACTACATACAACACGTTCCGGAACCAGGAATCCTGAGCCCTAGAAGCTACTGTAGGCAGGTTCGACACTTGGTTCCTGGTTCTGGTTTTGCCTGTTGTTGAAAGGATGTGGCGTCTGGCTTGTCCCGCTGAACGTTCCTTCATTCCAGGAGTCATGGTGTTACATGTCCTCCGAGGTGGTCATGGCCGCGGAAGAGTTAATCACTCAGTACCCAGGCCACACCATGACTCCTGGAATGAAGGAACGTTCAGCGCAGACGCCATATCCTTTCAAAACCAGAACCAGGAACCAAGTGTCGAACCTGCCTACAGCTACCAAGGCCTAGGGAACGAAAGGAGAGACGTCGGTGAAGACATTTGGCCTTATGAATGTATTCAATTTGAGGAGTATTATATGGACAGGAGTATTGGTTTTGGAAGCCTGAGCCACGCCGATGTACCTGAGTCTATCGACCGCCTCATGAAACAACGCCTGTCGAGCGCAGACTGACCACTTGCCTGGAACCCAAGTACCAAATCAAAAGACGAGCCTTTGGATAAGCGCCTCCACGAGCCGACATACCTTGGCATGCCTTGGCGTGCCTCGCATGTGCTCGGCTCCAAATTTGAACGAGTTGCTCCGAACGGAGCAGAGTATGGGAAGAGGCCCAAATTAGAATGTCAAACACAACAATCTAGTTCGGTTCGGCTGATAGAGTGGTCGGATGTTCACACCGGTAGGAATTTGATTCGTCGTGAGGAGGTGCGCATGCATATGTGGATCGAGAATGTCACAGGCTTTCGCTCACCTCGTATTGTAAGCACGAACACACCAATCCGTGGCCTCCAGGACAGTGGAAAAGAGCGTCTGATGCCTACGACCGATCCTGGATGCACCAACAGAACCGACCCCCGAGACGAAGGTGATCTCACCTGCCCGATCCATGTGAATCGCGTGCGCTAAGTTTGAGAGTGCTCTCACAGAGCTCCAGTAGATGGTATTTGGTTGCCCCCAGTCATCACTGGTTGACAGGCTAACCATCAGATTCCGAGTACCGGAATCTCCTATCAAATATGCGCAGTCTGACGGGGCGATCCTGACGGGGTGGCATAAGGTATAAAACTAGCCCAGGGGGAAAAGTGACGGAACGCAAAGGGAATAAACAACGCACGAGCGGGCTTCAGCAAGCGCGGGGATAGTGATGTTATGGGATTGCAAACAACGCTCAGCAATTGGACCAACATTATGTAATCAATTCTGTTCTCGTGCTCGTGCATAGGTGCATGTGGGTTTTGCCAAGAGAAAGGACTGAATTTGCGAGGTTGTACATTCAGCCGGTGCCTTGAATTGCATAAAAGGCTCAAGGAAAGCTCGTTTCTCTCTGAGCTTGGAGGCCTTCCTCATCGCGCAGAGTGACGCCCTCACTTTAGAGGCCAATGCCACAAGGGTGCTCGCCTCAGATAGGTTGGCATCTCCGCCAGACCCTTATTTCCTTCGTACTCTTTCTAGTCCTTGGAGGCGAGGAGACATTAGCTCAGGATGTACGTACCTTTCACAGTTCAAGTACTTGAGAATTGTCCGAGTGGATTGACCGCACTGACTGGCTTTCGGAATTGACGCCTGCTTTGTAGACCAATGCAACCTGCCTCAGCAGCTGGAACTGGGTAAGAGCGTTATCTGGCTGCATCTTATGGAGCGCTACTCAGTAATCCTTTAGACATTCAATAGCGCAGGGTGAGTTAATGACTTGGGAATCGCCTACGCGCTTGTACCTCAAATGTTCGTCAGAAAATCGCCTTGCAAAGTCGCCTCGGAACTTCAAGGCGTGTGTGATGCAGGAAAGGTTATTTTAGTATGCCCCCCTACCAATGACTGACTCTTGACAACACTAGGATGGTTTGTGGATGCACTTCCCGACGGCTACCACTACGTTGGTAAGGGCATAATGCGATTTACACTACGCCGCGCTCACCAAAACAAAGGTCCAAAACTAAACACGAGCTATGAGCCAAACTTGTGTATGTCTTCTGCCCAGGCAACAATTTCACTGTGTTTTCAAAACTCAGAGCCACATTCAATAGGCGACTGCAGTTCTGTAGTGTACCAACTTATGTCGGCGTGCGCTGCGTGTCAGAATCGGACATACATAACGTGTGCTGACTGTTAACTGACATATGCCCCCCTCTCTAATGCACAATCCAGGTATCCTAACTGGGGAGCTAACTGTAGCAGCATTGCGATCGTGGAAGGCGAATATCGGCCATCATTGATTCCTCCCGGCACTCTCGTGCCCAACTGGGCATACATTAAGCCCTCTATCTACAATGAAATGTCAGTTCCCCCCCCTCCCCCCCCCCTAATTAAGACTCATGCTGACGACTTATTTTCTCTAGCTTCAACATTGATGCTGCACAAGGCGTTGGTGGTACGTTTGCACCGGTTGATGGTTTTGCGATGCTCGTGGTGATTTCCTGCGGTCCCGGTAGATAAACCCGAGAGTTCTCAGGTGTTTTCGTCCACTGGCACGACATCCAGCACGAGCTTCACAGTTTCCACCGTCACGACTTCTGCGTCCACTGACACATACCCAACTATTGTTACCACGACTGCCACCAACAATGGGGGCGGTGGAGGCAGAAGTTCAAATACTGGCGCCATTGTAGGAGGAGTAGTCGGAGGTGTGGTTGGCCTTGCCCTGGTTGCAGTTCTCGCTATGTTAGTTTTCAAAAGATCAAGTTCAGGCGGGGATCCCGCTGGCTATCCGCAGGGTCTCTCGCAGCCTACGACCATAGCCGGGAATACGCAACCTGCTTCGTATGAAGAACCTTGGGCTGGGCCGCATGCACCCCGAAATCCGAACGGACGGTACAGTGGCCTCCCTGAGGCCTAAGATTTTTGTATTCCGAACCTTGGCTTGAGGGTGGCCCCTGTTTTGGACATCTATCACCATTTAAAATGGCGCTGCTTCTGAAATTTGTGTCGCATTTTCATTGGGGGAAGGGGATGAAGGTGAAATGGAACTCGATCTACGATCGTGTGCTCGCTTCGCATTAGCATTTACTGAGATACCCCTGGTTAAACACAAACCGGCACCTACCTCCAACAAACCATCATTGCCTGGCAGACTGATCCATCGCTTCACCCAATCTCGCCATCCTGTATTCGTAGTTTGTGCCAGTTATGCAGTGAGATTGATATGCTGTAAGGCCGTCCAATTCTTTGCAGAAGAGCTATTTGGTATCGAGAGGCAATGTGCAAAGATCGAGGGTGCTCAAGAATCGGGTGGGTCTTTTCCCCCTCGTTCCTCCGGGCCTGGTGGTGTCCAGCGCTTCTTGGTTTGGTCATTCTTAGGCCATTCTCTGCATTGGATTGTGTTGTGAGTCTCGAGGACGTCTGTTTCAACAGCCGTTACGCTGATCCGGAAGACTGATATGGTGCCTTTTGCGATGGAGCCATGCCTTAGTGAGATTGGGCGGTGAGAGGTCGGTGCAAGATGGCCTAAATAATGAGGGATCCTCAACGCAGAACGAACCCGACGTGTACACACGTTCGCGAGGATGTGCTGTGCTGCTGGTCGACACCTGCAATATCCTCATGAATGCCGATTGCTCTATCGATAAGCCAAACGCCTTGGTTGGCGCGTCAATGACTTCATTCGATCTAGGACATGTACAAGTAAGAGCCTCGAAACCTCCAACGCACGTTCCTGGCAGTGGGATAAAGCCCTCTGGCAACCCTCCGTCCTCCGAGTCTCGAGAGAAAACAATTCGCCTCCCGATTCACTAGTACCTTCATCCTGGGATATTTTCTATTGCCACTTGATATGATTCTGACAGCTCTCACGCTATATTGGTTCACCCAAACTTATGCAACTACATATTTATGAGGTACGAGCTTATTTTTTTTCCCGCCATCATTGTCAATATTATTCGTGGGCGAGACTAAGAAACATTCAAATGGCATTCAGTTCTTCCCGGTGGCGTAACCGATGATAAGTCACTCTACGTCCGTAGACCCCTCTGTTACAGTTATTTCCAGTCTGGTGGGTACTGCCAGTATGGCTGAGACGAACCCACAAAGGGAACCGAGCAATTGGATTCCCCCATTTCTGTTCACAAAAATGACACCCATACAGGCAACTGTTAAAACCACGGAATCTCACCTTTATTCGCTACCACAAAGAGGTATGAGGCCTCGCCCAGCGGACTGACGGTGGACATGAACCATCCCTCCCTCTCACGACTTGTCACTCGACAGGGCAGCCACTTCACGACACAACTCTCGCCAGGAGAATTTTCCGGTGATCTCATTGAGTTCTTTGGGTCAATGGGGGGCGAGGTGTCGTTTCTCGTTTCCCGCCGACAGGAAACGTTGTGACTGAACTCTAAAGTGGGCGCAGGCAAGCTCAACGCTCAAATCCCAATAACTTTGTTGTTGCAAGTGGGTTGTGTAAAATCTCAGCGGGGATACCGTCATCCCTAATCGATTGTGCTGGGCCGATAGTCGGAGGAAAAGTGAAAGGCTAAACAAAGAATGACAGCTGTTAGGATTAGGCAGCGACGATGTAACTCTATGAGTGCTGGGCGCCGTGAACCAGTGGACGAACGAAACCATCGAATCTGTATTGATTATACACCTCAACCATTTGAAATTGGGACCCTTATTCAGTGATGTTGTATATTGTTTGCTCTTGGCTCTCTTGTGTATCGCAACCAGGCCTCCACCGCAACCTCCAGCGGCGTACGCAGTCTCAACGAGCATCCTGGTCGATGCTTATACTCCTGTGGCTTCCGTTCCTTTGTATCGCTGCGGCTTCTGCACTATCGAGCAACTTCGTATTCAAAAGTTCAATCGCGATTCCTCCGGGCTGGAGATTGCTTTACGTCGCTCCCCCTGAACATCGTTTTGAGCTGGCCTTCTCGCTGCGTCCGGGAAGGTTTGATGAGCTTGAACGGCGGCTTTATGAAAACAGCGATCCAAGGAATCCTAGGTGGACTCGCCAGGGACGCCTGTCAAAACACGATGTGAACGTGCTAGTTTCCCCCCGTTCAGAATCTATTTCTGCCGTGATGGACTACTTGAGGCGGTATGATGTAGATTTGGGATCTATTCGATGGGCTTCCGACGCGAAGGATTGGTTTTCCATCCTTGTCACCATCTCAGAAGCCGAGCGGTTATTGGGGACCAAATACTTTGTATACGAACACCAGTCATCGGGTCGAAAAGTTATGAGGACACCGTCTTACCAGCTTCCGGAGGATCTTCTCCATCATGTTGTTTCCGTACAACCCACAAACTACTTTGGTAATATTAAGCCATATAGAAGCACTGTCCGCCCCCACTTCGGAGCGATCCCTCCGAAATTTCCAGTGACCATAGCGGCGGAGCCAATTCCTGTTACGCTGGACACCATCAAAACTCAGTATAATATTGGAGATTACGCCCCTAAAAATCTGTCTAATAATGTTATTGGCATTACTGGGTAAGTTGACAAGTCGTTTCAGACACGCTATTCTTACGCTTCATGAAACAACAAGCTATCTGGAGCAGTATGCAAACCTCGGCGACCTTAAATTATTTTATGAAACATATTTTCCAGCTGCTGCGAACGTTTCAACTTTGAAAGTAGAGTTGGTAAAAGGTAGGGTGATGCGTGGAGTTGTTCTGCTCTATCTCTAAATATCTAATTAGGCGGGATTAATCCTCAAAATGTGTCCCTTGCTGGAAGTGAAGCGGTAAACTTACCCCCTGAACTCCAAGTTGACTTGTTCGAGCTATGCTGAATTGATCGCCTAGAACTTGGACGTCCAGTATGCTGGAGGCCTTTCGGTAAGTCCCAGTCACACTGCCTCCCAGACAACCTACTTTCTTACCCTAAAGAAATACGCAGTTCCCTATACGTAATAGTGAGCTGACTGCAGAGTCACCCATGATCTACTTCATCCTCATTGCTTGGTTAACATGCTAGTATTTTACTCTACTCATGGCCGAGGTCTGCACACCCCAGAAAACGTGTCGAATACCAATGAGCCGTAAGTGCATCAGGAACCCCCTTGACCGACAATCTCACTATCATATAGGTATGATGTTTTCCTAAATTATTTATTATCGAAGAGTGACGGAGAGCTTCCTGCCGTACTTTCAACCAGTTATGGTGCGTTTCCACCTACACCTTCTCGTCGACTCGTCAACCTGTGGGACTGTTGTGTATGACACGCATTTTCAGGTGAGGATGAACGGTTCGTTCCTGAGGATTACGCATACAGCGTTTGCAATCTATACGCTCGACTGGCTGCCAGAGGCGTTACTATCATCCATTCCTCTGGCGATTCAGGGGTTGGGACGGGAATAGACCCAACAGGTTCGGGACCGTGTTTCACTCCGGTCAATGCGTTCTCTCCAACGTTTCCTGCCACTTGTCCATAGTGAGTGTAGCTTGAAGGTGGAACAGTCTGTCATATCTTAAATTTACTCCAGTGTAACCTCCGTGGGTGGCACCGTGGGTGATCCTGAAACAGCGATTTCATTCTCCGGTGGAGGGTTCAGCAACTATTTTCCCCGACCCTCGTATCAAGATGTCGCAATACCAAGTTACATCGCCAACTACGCCACCGAGCAGAAAGGTGCGTTTCCACTAGTACAAGTCACTTAATTCATTTTCTCATACCATGGTGTTCAAGGTCTTTTTAACACAAGTGGGCGCGGATTTCCAGATGTTTCAGCGCTCTCTGTCTACTATACCGTCATTGTCGGAAGAGCTCCGGCCCAGATCTCAGGCACCAGCGCCTCCGCACCATCATTCGCTGCTATTGTAAGGCCTCCACCGGTTAGCGAGATTCACGAACTTAATACTTGCTATGCTGCCGCGCTCAGATTTCCTTACTGAACGACGTTCTAATTTCTAATGGCCGAAAGTCTCTTGGATTTATGTGAGTGATTTTGATTTGGTGAGAAAGTCTGCCGACGTAATACACTCAGCAACCCGCTTCTGTACCATCTTGGTGGCAAGGGTTTTAATGACATTACAGTGGGAAATAACCTTGGGTGTGGCACTGAAGGATTTAATGCGACGCAAGGCTGGGACCCTGTGACCGGTTGGGGCTCTCCAGATTTTTCCAAACTAAAAGACTTGATTCTCTCTGAAGCATACACGACGAGTAGTACAAGCAGTCGCAGCACACCCACTTTATCATCAACACGAACCGGTGGTGCCATCACCATTTTCCCTGGAACCTGGGGGATTCTTTTCGTTCCGGCTGCTCAAGTTGCGTTGATGACGCTTGGTCTGCGCTTCTAACCCAGCTTTCCGCGTAGTATACCGTCGAGAACATTCAGAGCCATTGGTTTAGTACAGAATGTCGGCGACTTAAATGTTCCATAATACCATACGAGATCTAGCAGCTTGGGGCATTCTTGTACTGACATACCTTTCCCAAGTTCCCTGGTGTGGATTCGAATCTCGATATGTTCTGATGTGTAGTTTCCCCTTCTCCGTGAACGGTTCAAACAACAATTTTATGCAGTCGTGTTGTCATGATGTATTTGAGACCAAGTAAAATCTATGCTAAATGCGTGCATGAGGTAGTTTTAAAAAAAAACATGGATGCAAATTGAACATAAACAAAATTTTTCAGTGCACGTGCATGTGCATGTGACTTTGTGCGTTCCACAAAGGGGCGCTGCGGTTTGCTGGACGTCACTAGTTCCGAGACGATGTATAGTGGCTCCAAAAGCCCCCCACCTGGTGTATAGCGGTTTAGCGCTAGAAGCAAGCTCTCACCATAGCCAAGTCATCCTGATGCTGACAGAAGCTAGATTGACGGCTGCTGCTTGTGCTAACGCTATGAATCGAGGGTGCGTTGCCTGCTGCATTCAGAACAAGTGAGTCTAAGGAAGATGGAGAATCGTGCAGTTTCCCCCTGTGGCAGCGGTTCTGCACATGAAGGCGATCAAAAGCGGTCGCATGTAAGCTGCAAGCTATGAATTGATTGGCAGCGCAGATCACTAGGTTCTAACCACCATAGTCATAAAGTCAGATCCAAAGAGTGAAGGGACCACACTTCAATTCTCACCGAGTTTTGGTGGCGATCAGATCAAGTTAAGGTGCAGTCATTTAGGAAGGGGTATGTGTTATATGTTGTTTGAGAGTCACTTGGGATTTCATGTCAAAATCGGAAACTCAAAACTGGCAGGATCCTCCACTTCGCCAAACCCCTGGAAATTCATACGCTCCACCATACTAATAAGTCAATGGCAGGCCATGTCCACTGATCCCTTTATCCAATCTGTCCCACTCCAGATGTCTCGCCGCAGGAAGCAGCAGGGTTGTTCCAAAGCATACCTACAAAATGGCATTATTATTTAAATTTCACTAGATTTTTGTTTTTCCTGAAAGAGCGCAAAGTCTCCATTATTCTGGCACCATGCCCCCATGTTTGTCGCGCTTTGTCCAGGCTGCAGCAGCTATCTTGCGGGCGCGGAGGTAACTTCCATGTTTCCCCATATCCTTCCGAATATGGCGCTCGTGTTTGGACAAACCTTGCAGATTCTGATGCTGAAACAGAGGCGTAGTTAACGCGAGGTTGATAAATGAGGTCACTTCAATGACTTGCCAATCCTCTGTGCTCCAACTCGAAATTCTTCTAGTTCCTCCCACTTAACGCACGGATCCCCCTCATCAGCGTGTGGTTGAATTGCGACTGCGCGAAACCACACACCCTGCATGGCGAGCACATTTCCTTTGTCTCACAAAACCAAGGCCCTGATGCAGAATACACGCCACAGCCCTCGGCTCCCGGACAATACAAACCATGTCTACCACCCACCAGCTTTAAGCCACTCTTCTAGTAGCGTAAGTTGTCCGCAAGATAGAAGATAAGTGATGGAGGACCACCGATTTTTAATAAGGTGATAAGTCAGCGGTTGGCTATTGAAATGACTCCTGCGCAAAATGCCTTAAGGTTCATTTACGCCACCTCAGCCAGTTTCTAGTTACCTTTATCGAATGGTCAAGCGAAGTCAACCTAGGACTCGGGTATGGGCGGGCATTGAAAAGTAAGATCAAAGTGATGCGCGAGGACATTAGAACAAACTCGATATAGATCTTCTGGCGTCCCTAATGCCCGTTCTTCGGCAAGAGTTTCTTCCTCACTCGGCGCCGGAACACTCGATCGAGGCCCCACGCGCTGGGAGGACCGACTTCTTATCCATGATATGCGAGAATCTCATTGGGGTTGATAGGACGGGAGTGTTTGCTAACGTGGTCGAGCAGGGAGGAGTGAGGAAGGAAAAGCACCGGAGAATGAAAGCAACGACGTTGAAGGTTTCCCTCATCATGCCCATGATTTTAGTCCCGAGGAATGAGCGAGTACACCAGACTCTTACATAAATGAATGGTGCATATTTCCACTCAAAGCCAGAGCCTCCGTTCGATCATGATCAAATAATTCATAGTCATTTATTGGAACACTTCGAACCTCCCGAATACCACCTCCCATGTGGCGCGGGACCCGATCGGGACCCAATGTGACCGCTTGTAACTCCAAAGGGCGCCAAAGTGAACCATTGAGAAATAATTAGGATTGAGGTAATAACAAAATAGACTATAATTCATCCTTTCCTCTCGGTCGTTGGAAAGCCTCTACCAGCTCTAAAAACAGACAGATGGATAATATTCTTTCATAGTAGGAGCGAAAACTCACTTGTCCGCGCAGATTTCGAAATAGTTGAAGGGAGGATAACGTTGTACTCAATGAAAAGATCACCGAACATTCCCTCTTGGTCGAATACTGGCATCCCTTCCCCTTCGATTTGTTGAACATACCCTAGAGGACGGCTTTGTCAGCAACTGGCTGAAGAAGGGAATCGAATACGAACCTGGTTGTGTGACTCCTGTCCGTTGAATGTGGACGGTGTGGCCATCGAGGTGTGTCAAATTTCTTTCAAATCCGAGAAGCGCCTACAACACCCCATTGATTAATCCATCTAGTAGAGGGAACTCGTGAAGTTGTCGCACCTCGTCAACACCAATAGTCTCCCTCCAGTACAAACTGGTTTCTTTCCTTCTGAAGCCCCCTTCCTCACGCTTACTGCGTACCCTTAACACCACATCGCCCGCTTCCCAATCAGGACTCTCGTCACCTTCGCCCTCGAAAATGACTTCATATCCTTCCGATATGCCTTTCTCAATTTCAAGCGTATAATGCTGCGTATGTTGCAACACCTTAGCACCTTGGCAATGTGGACATGTCTTGGTGACCACTTTCCCTCGGCCTCCACACTCGTCGCATCTGATGAAATCCGTTTCAGAGAGGGCGAACCCCAGAGAATGAGGAGAAATGTAGCGCACGTCGTTTGTGATTGAGCAAACATCCCGGGGAATACTTGTTGACGAGTGATCTTGACGCCACGACCTTCACAACCTTTACACGGCTTAATGTGCGAATCAGACGCAGCGCCCGAGCCTCGGCAGTGGTCACATAATATTTTCTTATTAATCATAAACTATGTGGACGTATGGATCAGGAGGCACTGAATAATCAAAACCCAACCTCACTTACATCAATGTTTTGTCCGGTATACCTAAAAGATGTAAGGCGATGATGGAAGACTTTTAGATCCAAGATGGTACTCTGGCTAGAGCATAAACATACATCGCAGCAAGGGGCACTTCAAACTCCGATACCGATGTAGGCCCGCGACGGACCTCGTCTCGTGGACCTAAGGGAGAGTACAACGCCTATGGGAACCCAGATGTCTTGGGAATAACAGTGCACACGTACGTCCACCACCGAAGAAACTTTGGAACATGTCGAATGGGTTTTGGAATCCGCCCCCTCCATTTTCATGCTGCTTCAGGCCCTCCTAATACAATATCAATATTAAAAGGGATCATCCCCTAAGACGGAAATGGCAACGAGGAAACAGCATACCTCTCCATGTCTATCGTATATGCTTCTTTTCTGCATGTCAAACACTTGAATACGGCGCCCCGCCTACAACATTGAATGACATTACCTCGGGATCCGAAAGCACCTCATAGGCTAAAAGGCATCAGTACGTTCCATAAGTAAAAGCACAGTCCTGCTAACCTCGTGCAACCTCCACGAATTTAGCCTCATCACCACCTTTTTTATCTGGATGGTATTTCTTACTCAATTTCTTGTAAGCCGTCTTGATATCCGAGTCAGAGGCCGATCTAGAGACACCCAGAGTCTTATAAAGGTCAGCACATGCTGCCAATGCGAAAAGGGTAAAGACGAAGAGGGCTGTTGGCGAGAGCAAGTGTATCGAGGGTAGCATTCCTCTTGAAAAGCTTTCTAAGTCACTCAGAGATGTCCTGAATGGGAAAATTAGGGACTAGCGAATCACGAAAAGGAGAGAAAGAACTAGGGAAGGACGAGGGTGACGTGGAGAATGCTGGTGGTGGCTATGGCAGACACGTCGCAACTTCCACTTTGGGAAGTGGCCACGTGTTTGGCCACCGAACTTGGCTTTCACCCTCATTACTGGCCCCTGGCTGGACCGGGATGAAGTTCTTCCACAAGCCTGCCGAATTTTTACATAGCAGAGGCAACCTACAAATGTTTTATAGGGACTCCAATGGACTTTCTGTTTTCCCCTTCGGTAACTTCGGTCCAGAGGTCGGTGGCCCTGTACAGGAATCTCCATTCCCTATCCCGATGACATCCCTGTCGCTCTGTACGCAGGCTATGTTAGACAGGACTGGAGAGGTTTCTGTGCAGGCCTCATGCACCGGAACGACTCGCGTTCTTTTCTCAGGCCACAAATGGGTTGCTGCCAACTCGTAAAAAAATCACTGTGTTCTCCGCCTCGTCACACTGTGAAACGCAGATTCAGCGACAAAAATGATGCCAGGACCTCATGGGCGTCTTCCCAAAATGATCCCTGGGTTATTCTCACAGGCCCTTCTCCAGAGAAGACTCGGAACACTTTTAGAGACTAACCATGCTCCTGCCAGTACCCTAATCCATTCCCCTAGTCATGGGAGACCCTCTATTGGTGCATGGGGTAATTTCAGAGTGGATTTAATATAGATAAGTATTGGCCTTCAAGGCCGAAATCGGCTGAAGTCCCTCCGCAATTAAAAATCATCCTAATCTTCCCCACAGGTAGATTATTACCGGTAATATGGCAGGCTCCGCCAGCGGAAGCTGCCAATGTCGAGAGGTAACAGGTTGTGAGATGCCGGCTCCAGATTAATTAGTGCAAACAGTGGCAGCAGAGTACACTGTAAAGTTCGGCCAACTGGTCCGTTGAAGGTAAAATTGATAAATAGCAATGCCACCAAGTTCCATCTTTTTGGTGATCCTGATCCGTAAGTAGAAATGAACATGGAATCGATCGAGCGCTTGTACATGTGAGAACGTGTTCGTTCGAGGTCACAAGACCGAATGCAATCCTGCGCTCCTGAGCTAGTAATGTCCGTCAAGATACTTCTATGAACTCGTATTTCAGGGCCGTCGATGGCACAGCGCCATCGGCATTGTTGTATGAAGGCGAAGAATTGCTTGCCTCACAGGAGAGTGTTGGGTTGTATGATGGGTGAGGGCGTTTTTCGTTTATCCCCGACCTGGCTTATTCATGGGGATATTCGATATGAAGGGAAGAGAAGACTCAAGGACGTCAAGATGGCACTGTCATGCTGACTACCCATCGTCTATTCTATATCGATGTGGCTCTTCCGAAGCTCAATAGTTTGGGCCTCAATCTGTCATCCGTCAAACAAACGGAGTTTTATGCTGGCTTCCTGACATCCTCACCCAAAATTACTCTCCTTTTGAAATTGACTGCTGATGGAGTGGACTCTGCGTCTCCGATTTCACTTCTAAATGACGATGACGGTATCCGCCCATTGGGCGGTTCTTGGGTTTGCCCGCTCTGCAGTTACAGGAATTTGCCTTCTGCAAACGAAGGAAGGCCCGTTTGCGGACTATGCGGAGTCCCGCGGGACAACCGAGCTTACGTAGCGACCCCTGAATCGCGACGGCCTCACACACTGTCATTAAATCCTGTCTCGAGGTTCGGAACGCCGCCCTCTGCTTCTTCGCAAGCCTCTATACCTATTCCGGCGGCATCTCTGTTGTCGGTTTCCGATTCTGAGGACTTAGTCTCATGCTCGGCGTGCACGTATCTGAATCACCCCTCAATGCGAATATGTGAAATGTGTGATACGGTTCTGCCCACAAGGAGATCGCCCCAATCCATCGGATCAACAAGTCTTGCATCATCACAGGCCACGACTCCCAAGACGGATACTTCCGCATTCCTAGTGGAGGTGCCCTTGCCTTCCACAGATGTCTTGAGGATTAGTTTTAGGAAAGGTGGCGCAAAGAGTTTTTATAATACACTAAAGAAGGCCCTATTGAGAAAGGCGTGGATGGTAGGGGAGCTTCCCCATATCTCGGAATTATCACTGACGATTAGGTTAACCTAGAGCGAAGATTCCGGGCGGCGCGTCATTGGGAAGTCCGAAAACGCAGCCAGATCTGGCATTCGTACGTGTCTTGGAATTCAAAAATGAGTATGATGTGCCCTTACATCAATAATAGAGGGGATTCTTGATACTGTAGACGTGACCCAGCGAGCAGTAAATTCCAATATAGACACGGGTCTACGCGATCTCGAAGCGTTGATGATCAAAGCCAAGGAAATGGTTGAGCTTGCATCTTCCCTCAATGCGAAGCTCACAGCTCAAGAGGAAGAAATTGAACGTAGGAAATCCATGTTCCCCGACCTACCCCATTCTGCAGTTGCTCCGGCCTCCTCTTCAACCCAGCCAGAGGAAGTGACTTTCATCCGAAAGTCTATGGGGCAGCTTGGACTCCCTACAATGACTGTCACTCAAGATATGGTGAAGGACGAGAAAACGTATCATGAAGAACTTGCCAGGGAATTAGCGGTCATCCTCAACAGCGAGAGGTACCTATCGAATGGGTTGCGCGATGCGATTATTCCATTAGACGAATTATGGAAGACCTGGAACCGAGCGCGTGGTGTTGGTAAGTGTTGAAGTTGCTTTGGTAGAGGGTGTCTCTCATCAAAACCAATTCGTGCTCGTGCCAGCCCTCGTTCCCCCCAGTTCACTAATCGAGTGTGTCTCGTATCTCCCTCGGTATACTAAATTGCCGATGAAGATCCGAACCTTCCGTTCGGGTGCCAAAGTCCTTCAAACCCCAGCTTTCGATGAGAATGTTTGTTCCACACGAATCCTCAGCGCCATTGAATCTCAAACCGGCACCGAATGCACCACAGTCGCTATAGCAGAGATTCTTAGCATGCCAATTGGACTTGTCGAGGAATTGATTGAAGATGCTGAGACCGGTGGCTTCGTTGTTCGAGATGAAGGCGGTACTATGGGCCAGACTATCTGGTATCCAAATGAGTTTGGCGATTTCGAATGGGACGGGACAGATGAACGGATATGAGGTGGATTCCACCCGTAAAGTGCATCTCTATCGACATTAGACATAACAAATCACCGTCATCCATAGACGGCTAAATCCTCGCTTCACGATCGACGCAAGGACAGCTTGCAGCGAATTCTTCAGCAACCTTCCTTGCCTTTGTGATACAGGAGCCACCACTGCCTGTTTCCAGGAGCCGCTTCTTTGTCATCTCAGTACAGACAACTTAGTGAAACACACGGATTTCATAGAGTTTGTGCAAGCCCGATTGAACGTGACAAATGGATGGAACGATGATTTGTGACGATACAAGAGTGGCCGGAGGTGCTCGGAGTATGAGAAGATTATTCAAATCTGGCCTTAGGCTGCATTTGTGATGCTAAGAGAGTAACCGAGTATGACTGTTGGGTCTGGTGGAGGATATATCAATTTCACTCATTGTGCAGGTCGGGGTAAATCATTGCAGATAACGGCAAACTAGCCATTGCATGGTGCACATGTTGCCATTAGTCTTCCACCTGAAAGGACAATGAAGATGACTCCAGGTGTAGGGCTCGGGTTGTATTGCAAGGGAGTTCACCGAATATATTGTCGCGGGTGTAGGTCACTGAATGATCCGCTGTCCACTTTCGCCATCGTCCCTCATGGCTCGTTATCCCGTTGGTTCTTTGCCTCTAGCACTCCCTAAAGATAGGCTGACGGCGTCATTGGCGCCCGACCCAGTTGCTGGCCTCTCAGTGGCATCATTCCAAAAAGATACTCTGCGAGAGCATCCGTCCGTTCAACGTCGATCACGGGTCCTAGACACGGCTGCGCATTACTCGTTTACTACACCTTTCCCTGTTCCGTTCCCTTACAGCATCCCACCGCCTACCAATATCGAAGATAGGGAGTCGATTAGCCGTGGCATCGAGAACTGGCTTCAGGAAAAGGAACCGCTCGTCGAGCAGCCTTTGGCTCCGACTGCTGATGCCAAGGGAAAATCATCCGCCCCTGATCTTTCACTGAGGAAGTATGCTGCGACTAAGAATGACTTTGTGAAGACACGTCACCTTCTTGGGCTTTCTCAGTCGTGCCTCAAGGACTTGCTCCCAGCCTTAGATGTTGGGGATGCGTTCACACTTTTGGGCGATCCCTCTCTGGAACCGCTCGAAACAACAAGCACGCCAGACGAGCATACTCCAACTCAAGCCACAGAGGCCTCTCACGAGCTTCTCGACGTACTCTCTGGTCACTCTGTCTTGATGACTCCCCTTCCTGACTCAAAAGGATACAGCCCTAACGAACCGGCATACGCTCCTTGGTCTCTCCGGTATTCTGGACATCAGTTCGGTGTGTGGGCGGGTCCTCTGGGAGATGGACGAGCTGTATCAATACGTATGCACTGTTTGCTGCTAAGAGTCCTGTTCTTTATGATGGGGTTTACTCTAAATGCATGCAGTGGAAACGCCTCATCCTGATGATCCTGAGAAAATTCATGAAATCCAGCTAAAAGGGTCAGGTCGCACTCCATTCTCGAGGAATGCAGATGGACTTGCAGTGCTTCGTAGTTCTATTCGAGAATTTTTAGGGTCCGAAGGTATGCGAGAAGGCCAGGAGCCTGCTGGCCGGTTTTGGAATAATGATGATACCTTATGATTAAATAGCCGTGAACGCACTGGGAATCCCTACCACTCGTGCCCTTTCTCTCATCTCACTTCCCGAAATCTCTGTGGTTCGAGAAAGGCGTGAAACTTCCGCCATCATATCTCGAGTGTCGCCTTCTTTCATCCGGGTAGGCAATTTCGAGGCTTTCAACCCTCCTCAAAGCTCGGGAGAGGTAGTGTACCTCTTTGGGGGTTCTTCGGCGAGTACGTCGCAACGAAACTGGGAGTCATTGAGGATTCTGGGTGAGTGGGTCGTAAGACGGGTTTTGAAACTTGGGAAAAAAGAAGGGGAACCCTGGGGGCGAGACTTAGTAACAGAGGCCGCTAGAAGGAACGCGAAGATGGTTGCGGGCT